GACAAATACTGTAATTAATTTTAATTGCTGCGATTGGCGCTCGCTTTCCGTCTCATTAAAGACTGCAGGAGGAGTTGCTCCCTATTTTATTTTTTTCGATTTTCGCCATGGATAAACCCCCCGATTCCCAAGTATGCCCTGGTATTCCGTTCGCCATTCTTGGCTACGTGTTTTTACGCCTAATTGCTGGAAATGTCGCGTGGCAAATATTTTGTCGCCTTCACAAGGGCGCTCAATAAAAGATGAATAAGAGGAGAAAAATATTTCAATAGATACACTGGCACAGAGAAACAGATCAGAGATTTTATAAAGAATATAAACTTACGAAATGTTATAATCAATCTCTAAAATAAACCTCTAAAAGTGCTAAGATATATAAATATTATATCTTTGCGCCTAATAATATCCATATCATCATAATATAGAATTCAAAGGAATTTAGTTATAAAATTATTATTATAATGTTCGATTCGAAAGTAAAGTCTTTGTTATACCTTAATGCACATTTTAAAAGTATTTCAAAATCTTCAATACCTCCAAAAACCATGATTTTTTTCCCTGTACTCTTTCTCATATTTTGCCAACACTTGCACTTTGGTTTAATGGACTATGGCAAGTGCAAAGTGAGAATAAAAATGTTCATTTCTCGGGTCCCCGGAGGCTCCCAGTTGAATAATCATATAAAACACTTTTCGTTTGCAGTTCATTGAGTGAGCACAAATCCAATTAGATTTTGACTCGGCTTAGCTTGCAGACACACCTCCCCTCCATTTCCCGAAAAGCCCCCGAAAACCCCACGAAAAAACATTCGAAAACCCCCCGAAAAACACACACAAACACAAATGGAGTGCCGAAAAAGCGTTGCATACTTTGCAGCAAAAATTTCCTCAAGTCAATTTGCCTGCCATAACTCTTGACTCAAGTTCAGTTTGTTTTGCTGGTGTGAGTGAGCGGAAGTTGTCATGCGTGTGTATGTGTGTGTGTGTGTTTGTGTGCTTATTTAACTGGCACTTGTGTTGGTTTAGGGACTTTAACTTGTGGGCCGCAGGTCTGGCAATTGGTTTGACACACATAAATAGTTCATGCCGCATTGCTGATTATTGATTTTGCAACCAATTAAAATTCCAACACAAACAAGACTGCAAAGCAATTTGATCCTTCTGGGCATTAAACTACAAGCTCGCATCTAAGCTGAGGGGCTTAAAACGTTTTCAAAGAGCTCAGGCTAAATAATTCACATGCCAGCATGTGATGGCAAAAGTTGAAAATTAGAAACTAATTTTATAAACCTCTTAAAATATGAAATGATTGCATAACTCAGAAGAAGCTTAGAAAATTCTTGCGGTAAGCCTTAAAAATCATAATAAATATTTATGGAAAAAAGATAAATTGCATTTATTTATTAAATAATTTAAGTTTAAAGAGGTATACATTTTTATAGGAAAATAAATCAAACTATATAGTTTTTAATCACCCTAAGAGCTTTAAAAATATAACAAAGGAATGCATTTTAAATTAACTCCTCCATAACCATTTACATTATACCCAGTGTCCCCTTTTATCCCAGTTAATCATTCCATCAATAGTTGCGTTCATTCCATTCATGCTCAATTAAGCTGCTTAATTATGCCCACCAATCAAGCATTGAATGGCCAAAAACATTTTAATTATTTTTAAAAACAATATTTACGGTGGGAATATGTGCAAACATGACGGGTAATTAATCAATATTAATATCAACCTGATTAAGGGTATTTACCACATTTCTGTGCCGACAACCGAGATTAACATAAACTGTCAATGGGGGACAAAAAAAACACAAGAGGAAACCAGAAAAGGAAAGAGTTTTGCCTGGGACACACAATTAAGAAGCCATAAACACATGGGGCAAAAAGCCAAGGGGTGTGTGTCTGGATTTGGAAAAAAGCGCTGGCAGCCAAAAGTTGCAAAGTGCAATTTGAAAAACAGTAAATATAAGTCGCGAGCGGGGAAAAGTGTGGGGTGGGAATGGGACTTTCCCCAACACGTAGTTGGCAGGGAGTCACGAAGGTATTTTCGCATACGAGTTGCCCTCGTATCCTGGCGCAGGATCTCTGCGTGTATGTAGATGAGCAGGCAGTGACATGACTTGGCAGCTATTCCTATTCGGAAGCCCCATTTTCCCGGCCCAAAGTCCCCAGCCCCCAACCCCCAACCCCTAACCACCCATTTCCCTGACAAATGGCTCGAGGAGCGGGGCGTGGCAGTACAGGTGTTTTGCGGTAAAGGGGTGGGCAAAATGTTGGGTAAATGGTAAGATGTATTCGGCCAAAGGTGCAGCTGAGAATGACGAAAATTTATGATGGTTCCCGGGCTCTGGGACTGAGTTCTTTATTGAATTGCAAAGGGGTGAGGACTGGGTTTACGATTTGTAACCAAGTTAAATTGAAATACCCAGGCGTTATCGCTGGGATGGTGCTTGAACTGCTGCCACACAGAGAAAACTATCTAAGAACATTGTTCTTGAATTGAGCACATTGTGCTTGAATTGAGAACATTGTTCTTGAATTGAGAACATTCGTTCTTAAAAACCGTGTAAGTACATTTTGGTATCAATATAAGAACGAAATGGTGAGAAGAGAAAAGTTAAATTGAGTTTATTTAACAACTTTTTGATAAGTATACACTAAGAACTGAACTAATAGTTTATTTGTACATACAATTTACTTAAATACCGCCAATTCAACTTGATTGAAGCAAAATAAAAACATTTTCAACTTAAAAATGTCGTTCTATTTTTAAGAACATTTTCAACTCAGATTAGAACGTCAGAATTTTCTCTGTGCAGGAAAACAAAAGGTTAAAGCTTAATGTTGTTGGTATAAATTGGGTTTTCCTAACGATGGGGTAGGCTGAACAAAGGTCGATAATAGGAGGTTAAATTTGATTAAAAATTGATAGATGTTAACCCTACATGCATTTACATTTTTTTTTATGGAAATCTATAAAATATCTATGTAAAGCTGTATTTTTAAAGGTCAAAGATACCTACAAAGATAGATAAATTAAGTACAGATTTAATATATGGTTTACCTTTAAATGTGCTTGAAGTGGAACAACTTTTCTGATTTCTGCCTTTTACATTTAGTTTAATTAATCTCCAGCAAGACCATTTTTCTGAAAACCACATGAAAAGAAAAATTCAACGAAAAACCAGAACAGCTTGCCAAAAACTGGAAGAAGATTACAATTTAATTAGCCAGCGCTAAAGGAGCTTAAAGACGGTTGCCCCAATGAATAGTTCACTTTCGGCTCAAATGGAAATCGCCCCCAAGATGGCATATCCTTTCACTACGGACGTCATTTATTGGAGTTGTGTGGATGCTTAAAGCACACCCATTCACAAGCATCGGCTTATGCACACACACGCAGCTATTTACTCATCTGGTTGATGCAGGTGCAAGGACGAACAGACGCTTCAATGTCCTTGCCATGCCACCGCAATCATAATTAGTATCCTGTGAAGACATGTGTGTGTGTGATGCATGTTATACTCCACAGCACTAACACAAATTCGCAAAGGACTCACACAGTTGCGGTGGAAATACTAGTGGTACTTATATGTCCTTGAAAAAATTATAAACTAGAAATATATAATATATATTAAATTAAATGTAAATTTAAATCACTAGAGTTTTGAAAACACTGTTAAATGTCACTTTAAGTGTCTAAAAGTATGCAACAAAATATTTTAAGCCCAGAAGTAGCATAAATTCATTCAAAAGGACGACCATAATTTGTTCATGGCATACTTTTAGGCACCTACAATTTAATTTAATGGTGATTTCAAAGTCCTATTGATTTTTCTGGCACCCCCAAACATATTTTTGAAATACTTATTTCTAAACCTACACTTACCTATAAGACTCCCCACCATCATAGACCAGGTGTCGTTGCTGCCAAGTGATATATTGGCATTTAAGCCGGGTCAGAACGACGACTGGCTGGCAGGCTGTATCACAGGCCTGGGCCAGAGCTTTAAGGGACAGTGAATGAATAATGCCGGCCAATTTGCCCAGGTGACAGGTAACGAGAGGACGAAACGGAGGAACGTCCTGCAGCCAAGGACTTCATTAAACTGCAAAAATAGAATTAGAGCACATGGCAAAAGGCCGAGCTGCTTAATTACGGCTTAGACCTCAATTAAAAAGCCCCCAAAGGCAGCTCTACGGTTGGAGCGGAGTGTTGGAAAAGCAAACCGTAGAAAAAGTAAACATTTTCACATTGCCGGACAACAATCCACTTCGAAGTGCCACGGCTCCTTCAACCGATGACTGTAAAAGCAGGTGGAGGGCGGGTCGATGGTGATGACCATAAAACACCTTGGCTAATTTCCGCAAATTGTTACAGCTGACGACCGACAGAATGGGCCAAAACAAACTGCTGAAATGAATAAGGAAAGGGCAAATAATAGAGGGACAAGAAAAACACAAAACTGTTAGGGAGTACAGTATGAATATAAGCGTAGTTTATCCGGAAAAATGATTCAATTGGTGATGGAGAATGTTCAAAGGAATGAAAGTATGAGGAAAATGGAAATATTGGTGAAGGAAAAAGCACAGATAAAGATATGCAAGTAAAATGAGACATTAAATTTACTGAGAAAGTGAAGAAAAGCAGAAAAGTGACCAAAGATTATAGCCCTAATGAAACACTGCTGTGTTAATTTGATTTTGCAATTATTTTAATAATTGCAGCTCTTCATTCATCTAAGATTCTAAACTGTTTTCCTAATAAAAAGAACCTAAGAAATTTTTTTAGATAGTTTTTTATTTATGTATTGTAATTTATAGACAACAGATAATATGCAAAACAGAAGTCCTAACATCGAGCAAACTTTTTCTTGCAATAATATGAAAATGAAAAATGCAATAAAAAATGTATCCTTTACCAAATTTTAAATCGATTTTTTAAAATGGGTTCTTGCATATAATCCGATGTCTAGTAAGTATAGTTTAAAATCACACAGGTGGAAAATGACGACCCATTAAGTAGACATGTCGCGAGTCCAATACCGCATAAATAAACGGCCTGAGAGCCTCAAACTGCACTGGTTTCTCCTCCTGGACGAAGGCTCTTAGGCTATCTACCTCCAGTTGAGAAATCTGTTCACTATTGCTGGTATTCGAAGATCTCCCATTGATGCCTTGACTAAATATATTCATTTTTGTGTAAACTATAACATCATCCAGGGGCAACTCAGTTTTGAAGGCACTCAGATCAGCTGTGGTTTTGTTAAAGACTGTGATTATGCCCGCTTCCCTCAGGGGTTTCTTTAAATTCAGAAGCTTGCTACTTTCCACCTTTGGCAGACTGATGTCCATTAGGGTTATATTCAATCGACTGCGTATCTTTCGCACATCCACGGTCCGCAATCTGCTCTCCACCATCTCAATGTTGGCCTTTCGAATTGGAAGCAGGATCATCAGTTCAGCACTGGAATCCTTGAGACCCAATCCCAGAACTCGAGTCCTCAACTCCGGAATAAATCCGTGCCACGCCAAGGTCCTTCTGGCAACCAAAACTCGATTTTCAATGTGGAAGCCATATTTGAACTCAGCTGTAAAGTCTAGGACATTGAAGAATAGCAGTCGATTTGATGGATTATAATCGCCTAGTAGTTCCTGAAGACCCACATCGATTTTACCGTGGGATTTAAGGCTTAGAAAGTCACTAAATGGCTGCACATCCCGCTGGGCAAAGTGCGTCTTGTATACGTAGGAATCCAGATCTGCAGCATCCTTTAAGAACCCAGGATTTATATAGATATCCGGTCGCAAAGCAGCCACTGTTGCATAGGTTAATTCACCACTCTGCAGAAAATTTCGAGGAGCTAAACCACTCGCATTGGCTTCCTTCGGATATAGAACGGCGTCGATTTCTGCCGCTGATTTGGGACCCACGGCGAAGAGCAGTAATCCCAGGGCCTGAGAAACGCCCAGAGGTGAGATCACAAAATCCTGGTCATCCGCCATGGTAGAGCCCACATGGTTATAGAGCTCCCCCGCAAAGTTGTAGTCTCCGTACTCCTTGCCCCATTGGCTCCTCAACTCGGTCGTTTCTTCAGACTCCTCGCTTTCTTCTGCCCAAATAGCCCCTACTAAAAGGGGCAATAGTAATCCAATGAAAGCCACCATGGTGCGTCTTCAACTGCCCGTAATCCCGCCCCAGCCATTGACTTTCACCGTCGACATCGATTGGACAGGGGATTGCACAACCGTGCGCGGTAATACCTTTATCGCTTTCCGCTTAACTTTACATTTTGCACGCTTCAGGCCCGAAGATATCGGTGGAATACGTGCATTTGGCTCCCAGGAGCTGCGACTTCGCTCGGCTGTCGCTATAAATTTGCAGCGCCAAAGTGATAATGAAAGTGTTTCCTTCCGTTTGGGGCAAACAATGTGCCAAGAAAAGCGACACCAGCCGGCAAAAAGCTCTAGGGAGGGGGGTTATAAGAAATGGCATGGTTAGGCGACTTTTTAGATACCCTTAAGTTCGTCGTTAGTAGTTGGTTCAACCGTTTTATGAGGTTAAAAGTATATTATATTTTTTCATACATCATTTCCCAAATATTTTCTATATTTATACATTTAAAATGTTTAAAAAATATTTACATTTAATTTTAAACCTTTTTTACTTTTCTATTTTAGTGTACCCCACGATAATTTTAATACTTTACCAGCATTTCGGATTTTTCGTAGTGAATAGAAGAAGAATAATAGTTTCTAATAACTACATTAACTGTCTTTATTATAAATGTATTATATTCTTTACTTACAAGACCAACCACTTAAGATGTTCTGAAAATAATTTTATTTTGTTACCAATAAAATCTTCCCTCACGAAACTGCTAATGGAATCAACTTACCCCCTTTTCCAAAGTGCTGCATAAAACAAAAGTCAGTCCGAGGGCAACGTGGCGTATACGCAACTTGGTTACCTTCGCTTTCCTTCCGCCGGCAGCTTCCCCCCTCCCCTCCCCCTTTCTCTTGGACCATCCATCTTTCTCCCCCTTTCTCTTTCTCTTTTCTCCGCTGCGCTCCGTCGCCTTCTCACTTGGCTTGTTTATTGTTTTCCGCTCAGCCAGAGAGAGAAATTCAATTTCGGCGGCAAACACACAGCAACAAACAAACAAACAGGCAAACAAATGCGCGGGCGAAGCAAATGAAACGTTGCAATTGCACCAACTGCATTGCGCGCAGTGTAAATCCATGGATTTATGCCTTGGGAAAATGGTTCCCTTTCTTGAGCTTTTTCTTTGCTACACTTAAACATTTAATTGTACGCTTAAAATGTTACTTTGGGCAGTTGGTAAAAAATAATTAAAGGCTCTGCATTTTCTTTCAAGGAAGTTAAGGTCCTGTGAAAGAAAAACAAATGCCAGAGAATTTCCCGCCCGTCTTCCGCCTTTCGTGGGATACAAGAAAAAGGAAGGCGAAAATGACCGACTGTCCTCGGGGAGTTTTCTTATTTCTTTTTTGGGAAAAGTCGTGGAAAAGAGGATGCAGCGGATCGGACTGAAACACTTTTCACAAAATGGCTGCCAGCCAGTTTTAAGTTTTGTTTGCTCATTCCTGAACGCTTTCAAACCCCCCATAGGAAAACGTTGCTTTTGTTATTTGCGTGACATTTTTCCGTTCTGAAAAACTTGGAGGAGGGTCACCAAATGGAACTGCTGGAGCACTATGACAAAAGATTGTAGTGGCCAAAGTTTGCAGCAACGTTAATTAATTTCGCGTTCGTCGGAGCCTGAATTTCGGGAACGGGGGTCCAGAGTCCAAGTTGTTTCCCCAGCCAAAATTTATTTATATGGCGTTAATGAAGTGCACTAAGATGAAGGTTTCGCCAAATGGCAAGATGATTAAGTACCGCAGGGCAAGTGGTCTTTATAAAAGAATATATTATTTCTTTTTTAAAGATGCAGAAAGGCTAAGTTAAAAGCAATTAGCCAAGCATTTTATAATATCAAGAGTACGGTGTGTAACTAATTTCAGTACCCACTGTCATGCTAGACCCAATACCTATAGCTAGTCTGCAACAAAAGGTGTTAAAGGGAAAACGTGAGAACCTGAAAATGAAATGTAATAAATCGTAAGACCAGTATTTCATTTATTGATTTATTTTATTGATTTATTTTTATTTCAGACCCCCTTTGGTTGAAGCTCCTAATGCAGCTTATGTTGCTGGGTGCTTCCATCTCGAGTCCCAGCTTATCGCCCCAACTACTCCACAAATTGATTTCGGGTCGAGATCCCTTACCACCTGGTGTTCTTATCTACCATCCCGAAGTTCTTAATGCCCTCGAAACACTTTCGGTTATAACGGATGGTGAAACTTATAAGGAGTTCAATGGGTTGTACCTTAGACCCCTTCCGAAAATAAGTCCGGAACTGTGGGTGAACCATACGAATACGCTGCTCTTAGCAGAAGGCACTGGAGTACTCTATCCCGGAATGCAGGCCATTGCTGAACTGGCCCAGCTAAAGTTCATTGACTTTACCTTTCCAAGACGCAGTCTCTTTAAGTTCAATGAGTTCTTGAAGGATACGCACCAGAGCTCCTATTTTTCGTCCATTCTGCAGCGACGTAAGTTAAATGCGGATACCCAGCTGATATCCGTCAGCACAGCCACAATGAGCGCCCAATGGATGCAAAGCTTTGATCCCAAAAACTCCGGATTACGGGTTTTCCATAGCCAAGTTGATGAACATGGCGGAAGTCGGACGGTGGCCATAGATTCGATGGTTATGACAGGAAATTTCCTATATGATGACTTTAAAGGACTGCAACTGCTACATCTGCCGCTCAAGAATAACCTTACTTTCCTAATTCTTCTGAGTCCTCAAATCAGAGATAAGAAATCCTATAAAATACCCAATCAGTATAACCCACTAGAGCTGCTGAAGAGGGGAAATTTTGAGACCGTGGATGTGCAGATCCCAAAGCTTGAGTTTGAATATCGTACCGAACTAGTACCTACAGCCCTCAATGGAATGGGAATTCGACGGGTTCATAAAAAAGATGCTGATTTCAGCAGGCTAACTTTAAACAAGATAAAGCTATCCAGCATGGTGCATGCCACATCCATTCGACTCGACGAGTTCGGAATTAATGAAGAACCATTTGAAATCCGCACTTGTAAGTTGAGTCTGATTATTGAATATATATGCAAACTTAATTTATTTTCTTTTTATTTTTTCAGTGGCCTTTTCGAAAGTGTTAAGATCGAATCAGTTGTTCATGGCCGATCGCCCATTCTTCTTCTCCATTGTTAGTGAAAATCAAGTCCTCTTCACTGGCGAGTTTTTAGGTCCCTAAGCATGTCTAATAAAAGGCCTTTACCTCTTTTCTATCCATTAATAAACTGCAAAATTACGAGTTTGACCTAAGAATCATCTTAAAAACCTTAATAGTAAATATAAAATGGAAATTAGTTATGCTTTCCATAAGATCTAAAGAGAAACTGGAACAAATTGTATTTACTAAGCAGTTTTCTTACCTCACTTATGAGATACAACTTCCTCACAAAACCTAAAGCCTCAACATGAAGTGTAACTGAACTGAACAATATTTTAAGAAGTGAAATCTTAAGCCTTTGTTTCAGATAAAGTATTATACTTCTTCGTCTTGTATTTGGCAGTGGTGGAAAACAAACTGCTCAACGAAGGTAAAATACATCGATATATAGTGAGTAGACATCAAGGACCCCGAGGTAGCCTCATATGTCATCCGCCTTTGATCTTTGCCCTCCAAACTCTCTGCCAATTGTCAGGGGGACAAACCAGGAAGAGCTTAAAGGGTCGTTGGCAGTGGCCACCTGAAGAGGGAATTTCCGGAGAGTGGCCCAAGGTTCAGGGCTTCAGAACTCTACTGGTTACTCCAATAGATATAACCGAATCTGCAAGAGAGGCGGTTAGGAACGTGAGTGATTTGGAGTTTATGAATTTTGTGGACCCAGGAAAACATCTGTTTGAGATCAACCAAAGAGTGGATATGTTTACAAGCGCAATGACAGCCAGATTGCTAAGGAAACGTAATCTCAGTAAGGACACACAGATGATTTCGATAAGCGCCGGAGTGATAGAAGGTCGTTGGGAAACCCCGTTTCCCAGGAAAAATACCAGACATCGTCCTTTTAACGAACACTTCTTGCCAAATCAAGAGGAAAGGGTTGTGGTGGTACCCACCATGCACCAAATTGGAGTTAGGTACCCCTATGCCAAGTTGGCTGATACGGAGATGCTACTTCTGCCAATGGCTGGCAATAAAGACGTCAAATTCATGATTCTTTTGAGCTCTGTTTTAAAAAGTACCGATGACCTTAAGCCAATTAAGTTCATAATGCCCACTTACGAGAATCTCACAGAGCTCATCAAGTTGGCCAAGAAGCAACTGGTGGAGGTGCAACTACCAAAACTTAGATTCACCTACTCAGTGGAGCTTGTTCCTCACATTTTGAGTGATATGGGTTTTAAAAGTTTGTATAGTGAGACTGCAAACTTCGGGGTACTTTCGAACACCAAAAAACTACGACTTTCCAGCATGTTGCACACGGCGGCCATCGATATAGATGAGGGAGGCATTAATGAGGTGAAGCAAAGTTACGTCGAAGAAAAAGGTGGGTTAATTGGTGAGTTTGTGGGACCGCTCTATACTTTTCATTCATGCGTTTACCTATTTTTTAGCACCTAGATCCCGGCGGGAAAATGGAATACAATTTTTTGCAAATCGACCCTTCTTTTTTGCCGTTCTTGATTACAAGCAGGTCTATTTAACTGGCGAATACGTAGGTCCCTAAATTTATAACGAAGGTCCGAAGATGTTATGGGTCTTTTGCTAAAAAGATAGAATTTTTGGTTTTTTTAATAATTTATAAAGAATATCTATGACATTATTACACCAACCATGTGGACAAATATTTAATTGCAATAATACGAAGTAATAAATCTTAAAAAACTATCCCTTAAAAGCACAAAACACATAAGGGCGTTCGAAAATTATAAAGAAAATTCTATTCGAAAATCCATTAGATTACATTTTCTTGATATAAAATATAACTTTTGTACTTTTTCAAGCTAAACGAAAAAACTAAAGCCTTGATACCATTAACAGTCTTCAATCCCTTAAACAAAATATGAAGTTATTTAAGATACATTTTAAAATTAGCTAAGTATAAGCTCGATGATCCCAAAATTAAGCCATTAATTAGCTTCTCTCGAATGAAACATCATCTTACAGATATTTAATCTGTGCTTCGTTGCCCTGATGGATCTTAATTTCCGGCTCCTGCTGCCCCATCCGCCGACTGTCTTTCGGGGTCGGAATGACCCACATTAGGAATGTGTAATTAAGAGCATCGCTGGCCGGCAAATTCCCCCGTCTCTTATGCTAATGACCAAAGTGAATTGTTGCTGGTGTGGCTGATGTTGCTGTTGGCCCTGTTTTTGTTTGTTGTTTGTTGCTGTTTGCTGTTGCCTGTGTGAATTCCTGACAGCGATAAAAATGTTTCGCTCTGGCCGCCCACTGCCCCGCCCACTTTTCCCTGGATGGCATGTTTAGTCAGCGGCTTATGCGACGTATGCGTAATGTTAAAGCGATGGCCAGGAAAACGGGGGGATTTGGCATGAATATATGTCCCAAAGTCAAGGGATCTCTTGTCTGCATGAATTGATTGACACGGGAAGCGGCATCGGGAGCAACGGGAGCATCAGGGGCAACAAAATGTGACTGCCAAACAACTTTATTTGTGAGAAGTGGCATTCATGAAATATTCATGCAGGCAAAAAACCCGGCTCTCCAATGCTGTCAGTCCGGAGGAGCTGCTGCCACTGCCGCTCAGAAGAATATATCCAGGCCCTGAAACCGACATCGAGGGGCCTCAGGATTTATTGGGCTGCCAGGTGGAGTGGATGAAAATTGAAGAGTGCAGTGCAGCCAGCAATTGTTGCAGTCGATGACAGCGATCGGAATTCCAGGGCGCAACTTAATCCATATTTGAGTGGGATGCCAGAATTAATTCAATGTGCCAGGAATTTCCAATCATTTTCCACAATGTTTTAAAGATTATTTTACTTTGATATTATAATAACAAAATACAATGTTTTTGGCAATAAATTATGCTATTAAAAAATAAAAAACAATAGCAATAACAATATAGCCGATTTCTCAATGTCATGTTAGGGTCAAGATGGTTATTTGTCTTAATGAAAAAACAAGTTTCAGTCAGATAAAACCTTATATATTATTCAGAAACTCATTTTATCAAATAATCAATTTAACTCAATGAGAAAAGTTAACATAACATTTAAAAATACGCCCCTAGTCAGTATTTTATTATTAAGTAGCCGATGAATGCAAAACATTTACATAGATACAAGGCTTTCAATGTTTTATAGTAATTAAGTATAAATTAAATTACTATTTTTACACGCTTTTTTAATTTTCCATACAGATTCTATATATAATAATGCTTAAAAGTCTCCCTAAATTAATCTTTTTCCCATAAGTCCTTATCAAAAGCTATAATCTGTTCTGACACTTTTTTTAAACATTTTTCTTCGTTCCTCTGCATTTCTTCCCAGCTTCGAACCCAATTCAATCTCATCTGGCCTCTTTACTGCACGACTTGCTCCTGGATTCGGACAAATCGTTTATTTGGTTAGCTTAAGATTGACCCACATTTGACACAGCTCAAGTTTCCCCAGCCACTCGAACACACAGCGCATACGTACCCCCATGTTTGTCCAAGTTGATAGTCCCAGTCCCAGTCCCAGCTACCAGATATCGGCTCCCAGCTCACCTCACGACCTTGTTGGTTAGCATTGGGAAAAAGCAGCAGCCGAAACCAGGGGAAATCACACCCAGAGAAAAAGAAATTACCATAAATCTGATTTGATTAAAAAAATTTGTAAGGGGTTCCTGAATCAATTTCGTTTTAAATTATAAGAATATGAAAATACATAACTGAAAAAAACCTGATAGCTTTTTTAATATTAACTATGTTTATTATTATTATAATCTATTTCTATCTTATAAATAAAACTACAGGGTGCTTATTATGGATCTATAACAGCAGAACGACTTAAGCTCACCTAAGATATATACCTATATTGTATTATATTATATTGCATCACGAAATCATAAAAGAATATTTCTTTGTGATAACATGATTTTTCTTATATTGCTTAAAGCTGTAAAGTTATGGAACAGCCTTTTAAGATTGAAATGTAATTTAAGACAGAATACTTCCGCCACTAATTTTTCCAAACAACTAAGATGGTATTTTAGGCAGCACTAAAGACTCTAAAAACTATTTTAAAAATGTGTGCAACTGGCAGTCGCCATAACTAAGACTTTTGTGGTTTATGTTCCAGTTGTTCAACTCCGATAGCGTTTTTCCGTGTGCAGAGGCAGATGCAGGGGCAAACTTTAGAAGCGTCCAAGCCGATGGCATTGGGAAAACAGCATCGATGTCGCCCGGCACCACACAAACTATAAATTGGCTTAAGCCCCGGACCAGCTCAGTCGACCAGTTTGGAGTGTGTTCCCATTCTCGGTCCCCCTCCAAAAGTGGGCTCCATATCCGGGGAGCCCGAAGGAGGTGGCTACAACGTTTGACACTTTTGAACTTTGATGTACGGCACTCAATCTCTGACTTTCAATGCAGGCTGGAAAGTTTCTTTGTGGCTTGTCATGTCTTCCATTTGATTTGCAATGATTTTTGCTAATTTTTCATGGCATTCGCTTTGACAAGTTTTCAGCTTTTGGCTGGCCAAGATTCCCACGATTCGCCACCATCATCGTCATCGGCATTGGAAAACTTTGCCCAAACCTGTTCATCTTTTACCTTCTTTTTGTGTCTTCATGGATTGCGTTTCGGTACTTTTTTTTTAGAGTGCCAGGCCAAGCCCCATTATTATTATTGTGATTAGGATGAAATTAGTTTTTTGTCACGCCAACTTTATCGCTGAATCAGCCGCGAAAAGTGAAAACTTTAACAACCAGTGAAAATCTTTGGCATTACCTTGCACTTTGGGGATTTTGGTGAGCGGGTGAAGAGTTCTTCGTAAAAAATAAAAGCGAAAACAAATGGCTCAATTTCCATTAAATACGCTTTGATTTAAGCATTAATCAAAACTCAACTGGAACGGAAAGTCAAAACGAAAATTCGCATTCATCATCGTCATCATTGGGGGCTCAAAGTTGAGTTTCCTCCGCAATCGTACGCCAATTCGCGGAATTTCGATTTTCATTTCACTCCCTGCCACCACTAACCTTTTTCAGTTTGATATACGTTTTAAATTAATATTAATTGCGATTCCGATTCCGTTTGCTTTTCCAGGCCATTGTGGTGGGTTTAACCCTCTGCTGGCGGTGTTCCTTCATTTTGCTTTATCCTTCCAACAAAACTGGCAGAGAAATGGCCCCAGCCCACAAGTTAGGGTTAAGAGCATTATTAAGTTGGAATCCACTGCTTTTCATTCAATTAAATGCAGCAGAAACAGCCTGAAACGTAAGTCCCCGATGGTTTCTCCTTGTTGAAGCCAAGGAAATCACTGACAGAAATGAATAACTTATTTAAGTAAAAATTATTTTACATTTTAAAAAGTTTATTTTATTTTCTGTGTTGAATTTACCATATCAATTTCATGATCCTTTCCAAAGGAATTTTAGATTCAGATGCTTTACTGTTGCACTTGGTGAAATAATAAACTTGTAAAACTTTTGCAACACGAATTAAAATGCCAAAACCTTTATATTTGCTATCAACTTTTTTATAATATATATAAAATATACGATCCCATAGAAATAAATATTTTTCTGAGTGAACATAATGCGGTTCATGCCGTGTTGTTATTGGAGGCCAACATTCTAGAGCATCCTGGGAGACCAACAAGAAGTAGAACAACATCCACTCCCCTCTTGAATAATGAAAATTGAATTATATGCTTAATAAAGCCTTCTCCAGAAAGTTGCTCTACATCTCAACGGAAAGTGGGGCTAAATGAGACGAGATTTGCTCGATTTGCATTTCAGCCGCCTTCTAATTTGGCCAACATAACATTTCTGATTCATGGCTGTGTGTATACGAAGTTATGGCTGTGTATTTTGCTTAAAGCAGCAATTAGCATTTCGTGGCTTGAAGGCCAAAGGAATAGTCCCCGTACAGAGTACAAAGTACCAAATAATTATATCTGTGAGGCAATTTATTCATTGATTCATAAATAAATAAATCTAATAATGTTCATTACCAATCAAGCTGCGACAGATGCTGGTATGAAACTCCTGCGTTAAGTCATTTTATAAATTAGAAGGCAATTGTAACTTGGCCGTTAGAATTATTTATTGGAATTGAATGCCATAAAATCGAATAATAAAGGAAATGCCTGCGGCGTCTCAATTAAAGCTTGCCGCTGTTTCGCATTTATTCAGCACACAGCCTGGGGCTAATCAGCACTTCTGCTAATTCACTAATTTCTATTTACAGCCTCTAATGAGGGACATACATTCCAGTTTGTTTATTTTTGAGTAATAATACTAATTCAATATTAGCCATTTACTTTATTTGCCTGGGTATCAATGAAAAATACATCGGCTTAGTCACTTGGATTTAAAGAATATACTTGTTCCAGTCATAAGCATCCTTAAAAATATATACTTATAATTTTTTTAGTCTTCTTATTTAATGCTTCATGGCTGTCGCTTTCCTCAGACTTGGATTCTTCTGACTCTTGGCTCTGGCTTTCCTCAGACTTGGCCTTATCATCTTTTCCCCACCAATCTGTCACATATTCCCCTGCGTAGTCCTGATTCTCAGCTGATGCGGAGTCTTTTATCGCATCATCGCAATGCACCAACCGCTTGCATCCTCCATTATTCCGCAAGATAGAGGCTTCGATACATCCGCATCCTCGCTGGCAGTGATGATGGCAGGTGGGCACTACGTTTTTGCAACCCCTGTCGCAATAGTCTATACAATTTAGGTACACGATTCCAGTGCATTTCCTGTAGGCGTGGTCAGTGTCGAAACTTGGGCTTCCCAGAAGAATCTGGCAGAAGAGAGCCAACAAAGTAATTAGGTTCATGCCGGATGCAATATGGTACATCAATGAGAACGTAATTTTGAGACTTGACCATATTACTAAATCGGATAATGAAGTGAGTAGAACTAACTAATTCCATTTTGTGCAGGGGTGTAACGTACTGTTTTTTGAATACCCAGCATTCTAAAACACTTTCTTCAAGGCTGGGTATACAGAAATGTTAACATATTTTAAAACCCCATAGAATAACATATTACATTATTATCAATTTGTTAGTCACTTATCCAAATTTAATAATACATTTTAAGTATATATAAATATTTTTGTTTATTTACTTGACAGTATCCATTTTGGATATTTTTCGAGTCATTGCACTAGTTCATGAAGTTATACCCTTCTTATACAATTTTTAAAGCATTTTGACATAGTTTTCTTGGAACGGTTTTCAAAAGTAATAAGGATCCTTAAATATACACATTTGTTTAATTCATATTAGCCAGTAAATCGTCTGAATCATGGCTATTGCTCTCCTCAGACTTGGTTTTTTCTGTAATAAATTGGATAGTGGAGTAGAACTAAAAGCCCCTATCCAAATGAAATATTGTACAGTAAATTCATAAACGAAATAATTGTTTATTTACTTGATAGAAACTAGTTACCATTTCGACAGTATCCCTTATGGATATTTTTCGAGTCTGTTCACCAGTTCCAGATCTTAAGTATGTTAGCTCAGCTCAGCTCTAAAGCACTTCAATAGTTTACACAGTTGACTGCCAGCTAAGGTTCACTGTGTACCTTCACCATAAATTAAATTAAATTCTCATTTCTCGGCAGGATTAAGACACTGTTCCCAGCAGAACAGTCTTCAAAATCGGCTTGCAGCATTTGTGAGGCACTTCAACTGATTATACAGCAGCCTGCCGTTTTTTAACCCGATAATCCTCAAAGGTCCTGATGCACTGCAGCGGATTCAGCGCTGCCTGCAACTCCTTATAACTTGGCCAGCTTCATCTTACGGATCAGATCAGATGGCTTAATCCCTTGGCGGTGGGCCACGGGGCCGGAGCACAGTCTCCAGAAGATTCGGACCAGGTTGATTCTTGGGCCTGGGCGTGGGAGTCAAGGAGCGAGTGTGTGGAGCCAGATCCTCCTTCTTGTGGACAGCTGAGGTGGCAGCACGCCTGGCCCGAATCTTCTCCTCCATTTTGCTGGGCACCATGAAGCAGTTGGACTCCTTGTAGACGGGCTTTCGACGATCGTTCCAGGGGAATGTCCACTGAATGGGAGTGAAATCGCGACGCCAGGGCTTCCTGGGCTTGAACCAGCAATCACAGGTCCAGTCCTCCTCGCCAGGGGCATCATCATCGCTATGGAGGTGGAGATAAGTTAGGAACCCATCATAGTAATGATATGGAAAATGAAACTTACCCTCTCACATAGACGCGAACGTAACGCGAGTTCTTCCGGAACATTTGCAGGGCCTCATTGAAGGTCATCTCCAGGGCTGGCACATCGTTGATCTGGGTGATCTCGTCGCCCACCCGCATTCCACCCCTCTTGGCCAACCCAGTGGGCGAAACATTGACGATGGTCAGCGGCTCGAACTGATCGATTCCGCCGGACACCTCCATGCCCCACATGGCGTCGTAGAAGCTCATGATCCTGCGATCCGTCTCCAGCGTGTACGTCATCTGCAGTTCGTACTCAACATTGTCGAACGCATCCGAGTCGTACTTGGGCACCCTAATCTTTGAGTCGAACATTGTGGCGATCTCAACAGTAAGTGTGGCCCTTGGAAACTGAAACTGGCTAGATGAAACCGATCCCAAGTCGGTAGGAACGGACGGGAGGTACTTTATCGTCTGGCGTTGGTCGGGCTGAACGGTGGCTTTTATAGCCGATAATTTGGCAGCTAGAACGGATACGTTTGCAGGGACAATGTCAAGGGGTTTGACTAATGGGTTTGCCAAGTACAGTGATTAGTACTTAAAATTAAAACGAAATACGAGTACAATGTTAAAAGACAGAACATAGAATCTTTGATATTTCCAAAAAGAGAGTGTATTACAGATATAAAAAAAAACGTAGTACATCCAGAGATTTCATATATATAGAGATATATTATTAAACAATTCTAGTAAATTTATTAATTTTTTAAAACTTTGCTTTTAATATTGATTTTGTTTAATGTTTAAGGACATTAAGACTAACATCATATCTAATATTTTTACTTCCTGATATAGCTTTATAATAAACCCTCTATTAGCTTATAGTTTTAAATATAAGATAGCATAAGTACCTATTTTTGTAATTGTATAATATATAATTCCCACCAATATAATCGTATTGCACCTCGTGTACCACTTATTTACTTTTAAAGCATCTTTAAATATTCCAAGGATTATCTCTTAGTATTTTGATTTATATTTCTTTTCCTTATAGGTAAGAACTGGTTCCCTGCTTATTATGGATTCAATCATTTTTTCATGTATCTTCTTACAACATACATTTTTCTTTGTTGTAAACACGTTCTTGTAAGTGTTACCCACTGTGTGTTGAATGAAAATCAATGCAATTGATTTGCATTTAATTGTTGTCTATTTTTAGTGGCAGTGATTTTGGCTGACGGAAACAAAGCAACCGGCCGACCACGAGGAAGATCCCATGGCCGCTTTTGGCCTTTGAAAGCGGAGCCGACTCGAGAGCCCAGGGAGCAGCCAACCAGGTCCAAGTCCAGTTCCTCCACACACCGCTGGGCAAGTGCTAACCACTTGCTCCAAGCGATTTGATTTCACTGACCTCAATTATGGCTGCAACCGAGATGCCACGAGGTTGGGAAGCAGGGAGACCGGCAGACCTGAGGCTTCTGCCACTGGACTATTGAATTATTCATTTTCGCAAAAAAGAAACCTACAAAAAATAGTGGAGAAACCCGCCAGCAAAAGTCCATAAAATGGTATTGTCGGGGGAACAGTGGCCAAATGGCAAATGGCAAATGGCAGCGACATCTTGCCTAATTACAGCAGATCTTCGGGCACGGATGTGCGGTCTTTCAGAGTAAGTATATTTGCCTAGTCCTAGTCCAAAATCCTCTCTCTCCATAAGCACTTACCGGCTTGTCGGGGCTTATGCAATGGCATTCTGCCTGGGATTTGCATCACTGAGCGTGGCCAGCTTTTGTTGTCATGGAATTTCAGAGCCACAATGGAAAGGATTTCGACCATGGAGCTCGGGTAATTACTTAGCAGGTGCTGCTGGCAAATGGTGGATTACCTGGCAATCGGAGCTTTTGTTTTTGTCAGTATCTTCAAGATTGTCACGTTTTCAGAGCTAGACTACTCAGCAATATAAAAGGCTTTATCGAAAATTAAAGTCACGATTCTTTGTCCGTTTTGCTATATAAATAAGTTACAATGTGTCGCACTTCTTGATAAAAAAATAAAAATGAAGCTGTTTATTCGGTTGCGTAAGTTTTGAAAAAGTTTTAAATTCAATAAATTATAATCCAATATTTACTTCAGTTATAATAGCTCTGATACTGGTTCTGTCCGACGAAAATAAAATAAATCGCATTTTATATATTAAGAAACGTGTCACCACCTAATATGTATTTTGGTAAATAAACGTTTTATTTTTTTAATGGTTCTATTATCGTTTTATCTGCAAAGTGCTTATTATTTAAATAAAGAATTTTACAAATGTTCATTTCCTTTTTATTTTTAAGAATACTTTGAGACTACTTAAGCTAAGTCTGGCTAACTTTTGGTTAGTTCTGCATTTTATAAATATTAGCTGTCAAACTTCCATATAGTAGGTCTGATTAGACCAACAGCGTTGGTAAAAGTTAGAACATGACATTCCGGTCTGTCGTATATCGCCTTCTTGGCGAACCGATGGGCCAACCTAATAAACCTGAGGACGCTGCCGGTTAGTTTGAGTTTGGGTTAAAAATCAACGCATCCGGAAATAAGTTATATGGCCGTTGCGGAATTTTCTATCATCAGGGCACCAGCATCTGTTATCATTTCCAGACACCGCAGATAATGTTCCAGTTCCATACTTATTACGGCCTGGACTTGAGACCTTTGACATAGTTAAATGGTGTATGGGTTCTTATAGCTAGTAGGGTTATAGTCCACTTCAAGGTCGGCGAACTTACAGCCAAGAAGCTCAGCAAGATGAAGAGCTTGATCAAAAGGATTAAGGCCTCTTTTTCCGGCAGCTTCAGACTGGACTTTGCGGGCAAATAGTCAAACAGAAACAATAGTTCGTATAAGTATCCAAATTTATCCAAGCTTGACTAATTTTTTATTCGCGACATGGACAACTATGCCATCTAAAGATACGTATCAACTATAGATACAAAATAAAAGTTCTTTTATAATATAATTTTAATTTTAATACTTTCCTCTCAAAGCAGCATTCTAATTACTGTTTTCTTATTTAAAATATCATTTTTTGCTCACACTTGGGACCTTTTAGTGCTTTCAGTTTTAACGCATAATGTTATACTATTTTCCTTTCTTTAGATGATTAAATCATTTTCGTCCAAGCAACCCAATGCCGTAATTTGCTCTGTATATGGTTTGACCCGTTGAGCTATTTGACTTATTAGATTATGCAAACATTTCGGTTTGTCAAAGGCAAGCTTCTTGAAGAATTCGATGGTGACTTTCAAGTACCAGGTAATCTTTCTTCCCTTATTGTTTGGCTGTTCCAAGACCACGTATCCGGAACATTTTTTCAGTTCGTAGAAGGTTGGAACAATTTTGTTGGCCAAACTAGTAATTGTTTCGATGGCCACCTGAGTGCACTTGCCCAACTTACTCCAGTTTTCGCTGATGGTTGCCTGAGCATCAGTCTCCCGGGGGCTAAGGAATATCTATAAAGAAAACAGTAAACATGAATATATTTTTAATAAAAGCGTCTAAAGATACTCACAGCCAACAGGCTCACCATAAAAATGGTCTTGAACCTGCTCATTCTTTCGTTTTTAGCAGCGATAATGAGCGAAAAAACTTAAAATATTATTGGGACGGGCTGTCCTATTTATAGGATTATTTGCTAATTGCAATTTCATCCTTCCAATCAGCCCTTCAATTTTGGTCACACTTTATATTCATAGGGACTTAGCAATTTAGAGTTGTTGAGACGTTTTAAGCCAAATCAATTTTAGAAAGCAACACATTAGTATTTGCCCCACCTCTAGAAGGTTTAGTTGAAATTCTCCTCAAAAAAGATTACCAACTTGATAAATATCTTGTACCGATACTTATTCAAAAAACTTTGGAGGAAAAATACCATTAGCGAAGATTTTAGTTCGGTTATTTGGTTTTTTAAATGCTAAAAGTTTAATTTTTCTATAGATAATACGGTGATTTAGTCAACGACACAATTGTCTCGAGAAAATTAAGCAGTTTGACGGATTCCTTTAGGAGCACAATTAAACAGCCGGACTTTTCAAACGCACCTAGTTTCAGAAGCTCGTAGTATAACTTAAATTTGGAGAGATAACCAAGTCTAATATTGGCTGGTGGACTAAAACCAACTTCAACCAAGTCTCCCAACTTGTACTTTGGTCCTGGTATGGGCCACAAATATCTTACCTCTGATAACTTTCCAAAAGTAAAACCAATTTGATGATTTACAGATTTTCTTTAAAGCCGTTTTATTTTATATTTCTTTAATAGTGATACGCCCTGGCATATATCAATTTGTTTTGGATTATACATACACATAGCATAGGTTTTAATTTCATTTCCCTTAATTTGCTCCGCATTGGTTCTGCCCTCTGTTCTTTAATCTGTCATTTGAAACGGTTGCCAGGCAATCATCTCTTACATACATTGATATATAGCCGATGTACATATTTAAATAGATTTTGAAATGTATTGTACCATATACGCATATATAAGTTGAGTTTCTTGCTCGTTAACTCGCTTAGCTAGTATATAGCTCTAAATTTTTTTGGTGTGTGCAATTCTTTGTTGTTAAATTCAAACTGGGCCAAAAAAGGTTATTACATAAGTATCATATAATATGCTCGTATAATGATTATTGTAATTACAATTTTCTAATATGTTACAATTCGAAATTAATTCAATAGTTTAACAAATGTTTACATTTTGCTACAATCAACTCAAAACCCAAAACGCCGACTCAGTTGCGAAACGATTCTTAAAAGAATACGTATTATCCGATCCAGCAACGATCGCTTAACGTTTCGTGTCCATTTCCAGACACCAACGAAAGCAATCCCTTCAACAACTTGGGGAGCTTCGAGGCTTGTGATCTGCGCACAAGTGAAGCTCCAATTGATCCATTAACCTGACCTAAGCTCGTGCTCCAACCGAAGGCAAAATGCAAATAAAATTTGTAATTCTTTCGCAAGCAAAGCATAATTTCGGTTTCATTTTTAGTTGGGAAATGTACAGGTGGCCATTGCGTACTAATTTAAGAGTCCTTATCAAAACTACAATTGGTTGTTCCGTAACTTGATGCTTGAAGCTTTAGCAGGTGGTTCCGAGTGGGAGCATTTAGAAGCGAAACTGTCTGTTCTTTATAGGGGGTGTCTGTGGGGGAGAAGCCTTAAAAGCTGTCAACAGTTGACAATGTGGGGCGGCTGTTAAATAGCAGCGCCGATTTCATGGTTCGTAACTCTGGTGTGTAAAATAGTTCATTCGCATATAGTTCTGGTTGCTTGTATATATATAATATAGATCTAACAATAATCGTTACCTTTATAGAGAGATTTCGCAATTCTGCTGAGCTTATACCTCACGACTTCTATATCCTATATACTGTACGGTCTTTCTTTAACACACACATATTTTTGGTATCATATTTTTCTCCGGCGGTTGCCTGCTCATTTTAAGTTAAACAATACAAGATACAAGTACATGAAAATTTGTGTATAAACAGCAAATATATAGGGTTTTATACATTAATTCATTATATATAGTTCCTCCTTTATATATATGTCTGTATTTTGCTTTAGGTTGCTCCTTTAAAATGCATATACGTGTGTGTTTGTTTTTGCATTACAAGCTTTACATAATTGTCGCATACTTGAGAAAATAATACATACTCTAACTGATCAACATAATATCACGTGGGAACTCAAACTAAACGATCTTTAACTAATACCAAATATTTATACAATCGAATCAAACGAAGGCTATTTACAAAATTGTCCAAAACTTAACCGAAACGGGTTCTAAAAAGTAGGCTATCGTATCTATTCGGAGCTGCTAATGCCTACTCATTGGGCCGTGGCCAACTAATCACAAAATACATAATAATCGATAAACTGGTTGTTGAACTACTTAATAATTACGTACGCTTTGCATTTGGTTAATCTCATCTCATAATCTGTGATTTTCTCATTCGATTTCGATTTGCCTCCTCAGCTTTGCCCTAGCAACAATCATCTGTTTCCTACAACTCCCGATGGAATCCTCCAAGCTATATCAATCAGTTGCCAGCTGCTGCCCCAGTCGTTGGTTGAGATCTCCTCCTGACCAGTCGTCGGGCGATATTCAGGCGCTGCAGCCAGCCATAGCCTGCGTCTCAGTAAACCAAAACGGACTCCATCGTGATCGTATCTCATTTGCTCGCACTGTTGGCATTCGCCGCATTGGTGGCCTGGATCTGGGAGGCCGTCTGGCTGGCCGGCTCCAAGGTTCGTCGAGCCAAACGGGATCTATTGGGGAGATTATATTACAAATATCTATAATATTCAAAAGAAAAAGCCCTGCGCATTTCACTTACTTGATCTGGCCAGCCAGCAAGGGATTGATGGCATACAGCCAGTCGTGCACTTCCTTATCGCCAAGGGTCTGCAGCAGATAGCCACGATGTTTGGTAACCACACTGTTAATAAATGTAATTTATATTTAGTTTGAATTCAAAAATATTCGGGTGTTTTGAAATTACTTGTAAATGTTTTTTTAGGTGTCTAAAATTATGCCACATGAACATGAATTCGCTTAGAAAGACGACTACCCATTATTCATTGCATACTTTTAGACACCTAAAATGGCATTTAAAAGTTTTTTCAAAACCCTAGTGATATAAATATAGATAGATATAAAAAATCTCTCTATAAATTTATTATATTTTTTAGAAACATAACAAACCTGAAAGTGTTGGGTATCTTAACCATGGCCGCCTGGTCCTCGCTGCACTCCACATGGGCAGTGGCCAGATTGAGGACAGCCCGTTCCACAGGGTCCTTCTCCGAGCGGTAGATAAACACATAAGGGCGACGGACAATCTAGTTTAAAAATGTTTAAAATTAAGACTTCACCTTATAAAATACACCGACTATTGAAAACCTACCACCCAGCGCTTCTTCCAGCCGGAACCGCCATGCTCCAGGACGTTCAACAGACCCTTGCGGGCCACCACAGGACTCACGCGAATCTCCTCCAGCTCCGGCACATAAAGACGAAGCGGCAGAGCCGGCTGGGTAGCCGGAGCAGGTGCCTCCCAGCCGTTGGGGGCATCAGCCCGATCCGGTGAACATAATCTAATTCAAGGAAATACAATTTAATTAGCCAAAGTTTCTTTGGAAAGTTGGTTTAGGTTTTAGGTTCTTTGGATAGAAAAGAAAATTACCTGCGTCGAATTACAAATTTGTTGTTTCTAATTGTGTAAAAGAAACCAAAAGGAAAACAAACAAATAAAATATAGAAAGTTTTGTTTTTGAGTATCTCGAGTTACATAGGAAAGTGAGTGGTGGTGTGGGGTTTTTGTTAGTTTTTGCACTGCGATGATCAAATGGCGGGCAATTACAGGGAAACAGCTGGCGGCAATAGCAATAATGGGTTGAAAACAAATGGAAATGGTTTCCTATAGCTTCAGTTGCAAGTGGTTTATAGGATGATTTGGATCAAGACTCTTTCTTTACTGCTGCTGCCGGCTTTATTTATGAATTCGGTTATGACAACAGGCTTTGCGGAAGAAACTGTTTTGAACCATGATGACGACCCGGATCCTGGTCGTGAGAAGTACATTTGGAATCCGTTTCCGGGCTTCTGCGGCGAGAATGCCACCAAGTCTAGATGTGCTGGAGTGTGTCCCGAAACCTGTGGCTTTAAGTCGCTCAAGTGCCCCAACTATTGCGGTGTGAATTGCATTTGCAAACCTGACTATGTCTTCGATGAAAAACTACAGCTGTGCATCCTAAAATCGGATTGTCCTCAGGATATAAAACAAGAAGTTGTGGAAACCCATCGTGTGTTTCAGTAGGGACCTAAAATTCTAGGTTCTTTAATCATATATGATTTTAGCTGTTAAATACCGTTTCATCGAACAAATAAATTTTAAATTGAACATTATCTTTGAGAGTTTAAAACATGTCATCTCTGAATTCTAGGAGCAACTGAACCATCTTTTAAAATGGGTTGACTGACCCAAGCAAATTGAAATTTCACAGAAATCACAGGTGGAACATTAGTATATTAAATTTAGAGCAATTTAAATATTAGTTTCAATAATGGCTTGTTTTGTTTTGCTGCTGATCGGCTGTATCCTTCAGAAAACTTTATTAAGGGCAGAAACCACTGAGGACGAGATAACCTGGCCGGATGACGTCACTGAGGCTACCTTAGAAACAGAGATGACCTGGCCGGATGAACTGCCAGTAACCGTAACGAAAGAGGTCACTTATCGCACCGCTAGAACCTTGGATCCTTTGGATGCCTTGAAGGACGAAGAAGAGTTCATGGAAAAGCCGCACAAAAACAAGGATGTCGAGACATTCGACAGCCTGGAAGAAGGATACCGCATGGTTCATCCAATAGAGGAAGCAAAAGCTCTGAAGCGGAAGCCGCTTCCCGAGGAGAAGTATATCAAGCAGCCGTTCTACTTCGGCTGCTGTCACAACTCCACGAATGTGGGATGTGCAGGTGTTTGTCCGGAGACCTGTGAGTACCGCTCCAAGTACTGTGTACCTCTATGCGGACCTCCATGTCGCTGTAAGCGCGGTTTTGTCTACAATATTCAGCGAAAGGCCTGCACCCTGCGCTCCGACTGTCCCAAGTGGATTGTTCAGAGCAAGAACGGAATCTACAGGGTGTTTTTGTGAGGAATGGATTCTTAGTGATTGGGGTTAGTGTGATGAAGTGATGTAGGCTGTGGTGTGCTGTGGTGTCGTGCCAATTTCGTTTGTTCAAATAAACCAAGAAAGCCGGATGGATGCAAGCTAACTAAGATGGCTGGTGCTTGTGGGGGGCAGATCCGAGTGGTAAAGCGACTACTTACTCCATGGAATTGCTGGAGATGCAGCTGACGGTCATGTCGGCACATCCCTCATCGCTGGGCGAAACATCCGATTGGGTTTGCGTATCATTGGCTTCGCTCTTGGTATAGCGTCCTTAAGTAAATGCAGGGATTAGCAACTGGATGGCTTGGGAAATCCCGATGCCCACTCACCCTGCACCAACTTCAAGCACTTGAGCATCAGGTCCTGCTCCCTCTGGTTGTACTCCCTTTCTGGAATGATTTGCTGCGGATCCTTGACCGGCGTCTGCGGCGATTGTGGAATGACCATGTGCACGGGTGAGGTGGCTGCCCGGGCGGCCAGATTACACACATCCTTCTCGGTCTTGGTGGTCGGATTGGGATTGGTGTCCATGCCCAGACGTTCGCGCAACAGCAGAAGATGGCGCATGCGACCAACCTCCTCCAGCCGGGTAAGTTTCTCCAGCTCCCACTGGTGGTCGAAGATCAGCGAGTCACCCCTTGGCCGCCAGCCGTGCAGGTTCTCCTCACCCCGTACATAGGTGGAGCTGGTGTCCAACACTCGACGCTGGCGCCTCTGCACACCTGTAAGGACATCAAGTTAGGGAGTGAGTGGGGGTCAGCTCCAGGGATTCGACAAGCGAGTGCAAGCGGACTGAGTACGAGTACAACTACAATGAGAATTGCTACCTGGACTACCTGCTTCGGATGCTCTGCGCAGTGCCAGCTCGTAGACTCCGGTCAGGCGATTGGCCTCCGGATTGCGGTACTGTCCCGAGAACAGGTGCTTCAAGGAGCGCGGTCCGGTGCGAGCGTCGCGTCCATAGATGACCATGCTCAGATCTTTGGTGATAATGGCCGGGCGGGCACAGTTCTCCAGCTAGGAGAGGGAAACAAATTGTTGTTACATATATGGTAGTATTAAAATAAAAGGTATAAAACATACCTCCAAGTAGGCGCTCAGCGTGATGTAGATGGTCTCACCGCCCTGGGAGACGCGGTTGAGCAGCGCCGAGTTGTGCAGACTGGAGTCCCAGGCGGCCTCGAACCGGTAGAAAGACCGATCGTCTCCGGGCACCTCCAGGACTTCGCCGGGGAACAGACCCAAGGACAGGACGCAGGCGTCTTCGTCCTGCTCATCGGATGACTCCGGAGTATTGCGTATGCGTCCCACCACCAGCTCGTTGATGTCCTTCCACTTGACCTCTGCTGTGGGCTCATGGACGATGGTGATACGAATGCGCCGCTGGATGCCCTGATGCAAGAGGAACAGTCCACGGCAGGGAAGATCATCGCTGTGCTCCACCACCTGTTGGGATATCCAACTTGAATTACTTTCTGGTTTACTTAAATGGTTTAATAACCCTACTAACCGATGGCACATACTCTCCGTTGGGAGCCAATTCACAGATCTCGAACCAAACCAGAACATCGTGCTTGGCCAGAACCGTGGACGTGGGCGCACAGGGCAGTGGTCCAAACTTGGGACTACGCACCGGCTGGCTAATCGGAATGCTGGGTGGCAACATGCGACGTGGTGGTGGCCGGGAAACGAACTCCTGCTTGGCATCCTTGTGCAATGGGTGCGTCTGGTAGTGGCCGAAAATCTTGAACATTATGGGCTGAGTCTTCAAGTACTCGATAAAGGATTTGGTCACGGGTACAGTAATCTATGGGAAAGACACCATTATATTTTTGCATATTTAAAGAAAACCTATACTTACATTCTGCACATGGTAGAAGCCTAGGGGAGCACCCGATGCGGAATTCTTAACCGGTTCGGTGGAGAAAGCCTCCTCATGACGATGCAAGAAGCTAAAGGTAATCTTTTATAAACCTCTAATTCTAAGGGAATTTCCAAAAGATTACTTACTTGAACTGACAAAAGATGTCGGCATATTCAGCGCCAATGCCAGTGGCCTGGAGAACGGTGACACGGAAGGTGAACTCCTTGCCCACCTGCAAGTGCTCGCCGGGCTCTTCGGCATTCTCATGGCACTCGGAAGCGGAGTTGGAGTCAATACCGCGACCAGAGTCCACATCCTCAAGTTCTGCTAAAGGGCATAATCATGACTCTTAGCAGATAGTCAATGGAAATCTGTGAAAACTCACCCTCCATCTTGCTGTCCAAACCACCATTGTCAATATAACGCTGTACGTCATCCTTTTCGTTGAGAGCTCGGTACTTGGGCTTGGCATCATCTTCGTTGAAGACCAAACGAGCCGACTGCTTGACACCATTATTGAAGTCAATGGACTCCTCATCCAGAACGGGCTGCACGGCAATCCTTAGGTAGCCACGCACATCTCCCCGCTCGTTGACAATGGCCACTTTGTGGACCAATGGCACTGGATAGAGCAGGTTGCTCAGATAGATGAAGGAGCGACCCACCATGCGGAACCAGGGGAAGCGATCGTAGAAGGGATCGCCGCCAGTGAGGCTCTCTACATTATAGTCCGGCGAAGTGGGACTCATCTCGGCCTCGTTGTGGTACATCTCTCGCATCAGCTCCAAACGTTGCCTAAAAAACACAACCAGGAAATTATAAACATAAGGTTAAGGCAGTGACTTTTGTTATATAAATAATATTAGAATATTGCTTAGGTAGAAGAGTGCGGGTAGAGCGTCAAAGCAGGCCTAAACCCGCCCCAGATCAGAAGCCAAATATGTAAAGCCATGCAACTACAACTAAGGATAGTTTCTACACGTCTATATACAAATGAAACCTGCGGTCAAAGCACACCTAGACGGTATCAGATTGGCCAATGTGAGTCGGCCCCGTTCGCTTTCGACTGGTGGCTCCACTGGGAGCAGCTGCGGCTGCTGGCCGGGGTGCGGATCATGGCTGGGTGGTGCGATCCATCCGCTCAACGCCTCCATGCCGGACGTATCGAATAGCATGGACGATGGCGGGCTCTCGACATTGTATATCTGTCGCATCAGCTCGAGGCGATAGCTTGTTTGTGTACGAAAATGATTTGGGATGGGATCGGAATCGGGGTTTGGGATTTGTTGTCGGTGTGGGCAATGGGAATCGTAGTAAAAGAACCGAAAAAGTACAAATCAACATTGGTTCAAAACTCCTAGCAAGCTGTCGGGGCATTGGCGAATGATGGCGATGAGACTGGAGGCGTAAATGGTGGCGGCGTGATCTTCGCTTCGTTCACATCCAAAGTTACAAATGAACCAACAAATTCTAGAGCACTTGATAGAAACTAGAATCCATGAACTACAACCACCATGCACGTATTTATAAAGGAACATAATCAACTCAAATCGTAAGCCAGCTTTTAGTTTAAAATTTCAACCAAGGTGCAGAGAAGAATGAATGTGAGGACAGAGCAGGAATTCATATGGAGTCTTAGGTGTGATGGACTTACCGTAGCTTCTCCAGGGACCAATGATGAGTGGCCCCGTTCTTGGTATCGGTGACCTCGACGGCCACCAAGGTTTTGGACACTGGAGGTGCTCCAAACTCATCGTCCTGATGCGAAGGAGCCACACTGGAGGCCAACTCAGGTGGCAGAGGGGAGTACAAGGTGTCAGTCAAGAGAGTAAACTGGAATTGTACCTGAAATGGGAGGGGGTTAAGTATATTTAAATATTATAAGTCACATAAGTCACTTTAAAATGTTATTCCTGGTGTCTAAAAGTATGCAACAGCATATTTTATACTCAAAAATACAATTAAATCCTTCAGGAAGTCTACTATCCTTTATTTACTGTATACGTTTATGCAACTAAAATAATATTTTTACACAATTACCTTTTTCTTCAACTCAACGGATATAGCATTAGCTTCCTTGAGGAATATGGCATTGCCCCAGAGATCGTCTCGCAAAGAGGTGAATTGGTGGTAGCGCCACTTGCGGAATGCCCAGGCAGCCAAACCAGCCTCACGAGCTGTCCAGCAGGACTCGTACATGGGATTGGCTAAGGAACATAAAATATGTTTAAAACTCTTTGCATTTCCCAGACCAATGCCATCCCCTTACTGTAGACATCCTCCTCCTGGTGGAAGTCCTCCGGGGAGTAGCTGCTGTACATCGACATGGTCATCGATTGCTCCTCCACTTGCTTCTGCAAGGCATCGATCCGAGCTTCGTAGGTTTTGCGCTGTTCCTCAAACTGCTGATCGGCCTGGAGTTTCTCCCGCTTGTACTGCTCCTCCAGGTTGTCCAATCGCTTCTTCATTTCGGCCTTGAGATCAATGCCCTGCTTCTCTAGCAATTCACACTGGGCAAAGTTCCAGTCCACTTGCTGGGTGTCCGTCTTTTCCACCTCGTTCTCCGCTTCATTCTCGGTCTCGATCTTCTCACGCAGTTCGCGTGCCTGTTCCGGATTGGTGAAACGGAACACATGGTTCTTGCCCAGGATCACTCGAGAGCCGGTCTTCAGAACCTCCGGTTCAACCAACTTGCGTCCATTTACATAGATAATGGCATCCTTGTGCGGCAGCAGGGTAACCGTGCTGTTTCGATTCTCAAAAGTACAGTGCTCCTTGAGGATGTGCGAACCGGAGAGCTGAATGTCCTGGGGAACATTCGCCTCGTGGGTTCCCAGGCGGGTTAATCCCTCCTTGATGTAATAGAGCAGACACTCGGAGAGATTGGGATCCTCGTTGAGGTTGACCAGATGGGGAGTCTTCTTGGGTGAGAATACGCCCACTGTGATGCCGTCTTCCTTGACGGCCACGCCCATCTCGGCGAAGACCGCCTCTCGCTGCACACGAATCTCCTCAGTGCGCTTCAGTTTCTCCTCCCAAGTCTCGTTGAGTTCTGTAAAAAATATTATTGTAGGTATTACAACTTATAGATTGAGTTGGCTTTAGTAAACCCCACCTGCAATGAGTTTCTCGCTGGCCTGCAGCTGATCCACTGCCATCTCCGTGGTGGATCCATTGCGATTACGTGTCTTAGTGGGCGACGACTTGATCACCGTGGACTTGTTCAGCTCGTCCTCTGTAAATACAGAAGCGGTATTAGATCATAGACCCTCTGACCATTTTTGGAGGTCACAAGCGCAGTGATAAGCGTGCTAAGGTTATAATAAAGGTATGAAATACAGATATATGGAATATAAATGTTCATAATATTTTGTATACGAAACGAAGCAAATGCCAATGGTTTATGGTTTTTTTGGGGACTACTGCATCACTCGGGCATGTCCACTTTCTAGCCTTTAAGCAGTGCGGACTGCGGGGAGTTGGTGCCTGTCTTTCCTTTTTGGACTTTGGCAACTCAAATAAATTATTTAAATACTTTTTTGAAGTCTCTTTGGTGTATTGTAGGGCAACATAAAGAGGACTCGACTGTGATTATCGTATGGGTTATATAAGATTATATTCGTCCTGAAGCGATTTGTTTTGAAGCTTTGACGATACAGCACAATACAGAGGCACACACAGAGAGAAATGTAAGAATATTGGCAGTGGTTAAACTACAATATCAGTGCGTTTCAAAACTACATATCCAATGCGAGGAAGAGTCACAATATTTGTAGATACAGAGGAACATTAGTGTTCTATCAAAAATCATATCCTTTTAAGCATAGGAAATCAATTCGACATAAGGTGATATATTAATTATCCAAGAAGTAGTACAGCTAGAATGGATATTCTTGACATTATTTAAGTTCGCCTTAAGCTCTGAAACGCACTGTACATTTTTGCATATATTATTTATTTTATTGAATAACATTTGTTGCATGTGAAGCCTTGTTTTTTTATTAGCGCTGAATTTCTGTGGGCTTTACTTACTATTCGTATCGCGCTTCTCACACACCACTTTGCCATCGGGTCCTAAACGAAATAGGTTTGGGTTTGGTTTTGTTTTTTCTTTTCTAGCATAACTAGTCTAGGACTATAACTACCTTAGGCAGGGTTTTCTTGTTTTGTTTTTTTAAGTGTAGCGAGTAATTTTTTAATGTGTGGCTGGGTTTAATGTACTCTATTTTAGTTGAAGGTATTCGAACAGTATATAGTTGGTTTAGGCTATTCCAGGACTTACCTTCCTGCACCTCGATGCCCTCGGCTTTGAGTAAATCCCGAAGCTTCTGGATTTCCTCCTTGAGTTCGCGAATAAGCTTGGCATTAGCATCTTCATTGACCACAGCCTTGCAAACAATTTGCTTAGCGCGATCAGCATAGCTTTAGAAAATTATTATATAATCTATGGTTTTTAATATAGTAAATATATATGTCGTACCGCAAGGTGCTGAGAGTTTCATCATAGTTAATATCTGCTGGTGAGATAGCTGCAATCATAGCTGTCTTGGAGTTACCTCCCAAGTTTTCGCGTAGCAGCCAAGTCAAGGCCGAATCACGATAGGGAATGAAGTCTGCCTTCTTGGTGTTCTTTTTCTTGGAAGCCTTTTAAAGTAAATGAATACATTAGTAGCTATAAAGGGTAAAGAAACGTTTATGTAAACGTACAGACTATATGGTAGCAAGGCAGCAGAAAAATACAGATGATTTATTAGCATATTTTCAGTCGTTACATATATTGTTATTATTATAAACTTACCACCTCCGCTAAGGCTGAGATAACTTTGCCCAAGGTGGTCAACGACTTGTTGATGTTGGCTCCCTCCTTCAAGCGGGTTCCCTTAGCACCGGTAGAATCAGCTCGTTCCGAGCCAGCCAAATCCACCAAGCTAATCTTGGAGACCTTCTCTGTGGTCAAATCGGTCATGGTATCATAACGACGTTGGGTGAAGAAGATGGTGAAGACGGCATGGGAACGGGAACTGGTTTCGTTCATGTTGGTGGCTGCCACAGTTCTATAAAATAAACACAATTTAAATAGTTATTGAACAAACTGAAAAATGTCGTTATAATGAAAACCCACCGAGCCTTGTTGCCTTCGTCAATGAGATCGTGAATGTCCTGGTAATCGGTGACGGCCAATTTAGACAGATCCTCCACATAGGGACCCAGCAGGGGATGCTCCCTCACACGCAGATTGCCCTTGTTCTTGGGATTCAGCAGATCCCTGACTCGCTCGCAATAGATTTCCATATATGAGACCTCAACCTGTTATAATTATATAATAAGTAACTAAAAAAGTTTAGCAAAGTTCCTAAGACTCACCGAATACTTGAGGTCATCTGTCTCCGTATCCTGAATACGAGTGAATAGATCCTTGCATATCATGGGTATTATTCCCTCCTGCTGCTCCTCCTGCCTGCCCATCATGGTATATGACTTTCCAGCTCCAGTCTGGCCATAGGCAAAGATGCAGACATTATAGCCGTCGAAGGAGTGCTGCAACATCTCCTCGCCAATGTCCTTGTAGACCATCGATTGTGTGGAGAAATCGGCATCGTGGTGCTGTGACATAAATAAATATTTCACTAAATGTTTATATCTCACCATTTAAATAAAACTTACATCATGTGACCAGTAGGAGTAGTCAAAGTTGAAGCGCTTTACCGAGTCGCTTGTGTTGGGCGGCACCTTTGGATTGGTGATGGCTGTTAGGAGATGGTATATTAGTATTGATTTCAGAAGAATCCAGAGGAGAATCCAGGAGACTCTTACCCGTGGTGGCCCCCGCCATCTCGATGATGCATTTCGACTCCCTGGCTATTTCACGCGAGTTGAAGGGGCGCACTCGCACCGCCACCTTAACCGACGACATCTTGTCCTGCCTCTCAGTGGGTGTCCTGGTTTCCGGTTAACTGGAGTGGAAATAAAGGAAAGGGAATACTTTATAGTCATTGGAGTCATTCGAGTGGGCTGCAAATTGGCTCGAGACTTCCACTGGCAGCACTGACATTCTATAATTGCCCCAACTTTATGGTTATGTACTAGTCCACGATTTGTTCTTGTGGTAGTTCCAAACAGTGAGTCATGCCCCCGGCAACTCGCCAGGGAAATTTGAATTGAAGCCAGGGGTGGGTCTGAGGATTGCCCTTTTTCCTTTGGGCTTAGTCTCGGACTTAGAGGACTGTAAATATTCTATAATACACTTTGAAATCCTTTCACAGTAGAAACCCTTTTTTAATATTTTTTATAATTTAAAAAAAAACCTATTACAAAAAGTACCTACTAGTATTACTAGCACTAAGAATACACAAGTACCTAAGTGTTAAAGATAAGACTCAAAGATTCTTACATTTGTAGTAATTTTTGACTTTTCGAATCTTTGATTTCATGCAAATAGTTTTGTATAATCCGCAGCCCTCTTGACTCACACAGACGCACTTTCACTCACACACTCGTAGCAATGGGAAAAAATTCCACAATCCACAATGCTTCCAATAAAACGCAGACGAGTGTCGGCCAATACTCGAATGAGTCATCGAGCAAATACAAAAGGCAGGATAAAGAAAAACACCCAACCCCCAAAAGCAAGGGAATGACTTTAAATACGATTTTTTATAGAATAAATATAATATAATGAAACAATTTATTGAGAATAATTTACCTTTAGTAATGCCAAACAAATGCTGGCTTATAGGACGACTATATCCTCAAAGTTCATTATAGCACTAATGGGAAGAAGTCTTTAGAACACTTTTGAGATAGCACTTTGTTGTGATTTTCAATTAGTAATAGTTCTTTGAAATTAAATTATTTTTATTGTTTTTTTATAAGAGTCACTCAATATTTTATTTATTTATTCACCAGTAGTTATTTCACTTGACCAACAATGAAATTCTTTAACTCGCGCACACTAGTGTCCTGAAATATGGGGAGACCAAGTTTAGAAACTATTCCAATGAATTCCCGGCCAATGCGCAGCTGTGAGAATTTCTCTCTCTTTCCCATCCTTGCTCTCTCTTTGTTTACCTGGCCAAAATTTTGTTTATATTTTTTTTTGTTCCTTCAATTTGATTTTGACGAAACTGTCAAAGCAAATGTGCAACAGCCTGCAGTAAAAAGTCTACACAGGAAGAATTGCGCAGAATCGCGAGATAGGAGAATTGTGGAGAGAAGGCAAAGAAAGTTGAGAGAGAGAGAGTGGGGGTTAGAGCGAAAGTGAGAAATGCAAAATATTTGTGTAATGTATTTATTTTATTTTTTATGATATGCAGACTGACGCAAGTTGAAGGCGCACAAAACGATAACAAATTAAAGTAATCAAATGGGTCTATATCCTTATCCAGAATGTCCTCTTCCTCTTGCTTTTCCGAACTCAGTTTACCTGACTAGGCTTTTGAAAATTTATTCGTCACTCTGTCAACCCTCATTTGCACTTGAGAAACGAACTTAACACTCGAGGTCCTTCGCGCTACTTCGCTTTTATTGCCTTCTGCGTCATAATGTCGACTTTTTATGGCTTCCTGCGGGGCAACACGGCGGGCACTTAATGCCATATGCAGGACCTCTAACCACACTCACTCGCGCACACCATCACCTTCACCATCGTGGGCATATCCTTCGCTGGGTTCTTCTTGACCTTTATTAATAAATTTTCAAGTTGCCTCTGCCATGGACACCGAGCCTGGAAATCTCTACACTCTACACACACTATCCACACTTTTCTGGAGGCCACTGTATACTAGATGATGGGGGAAAAATAGGCGAATCAAAATTATGTAAAACGAAATAATGGGCTATGTTGTTCGAGAATTTTGAAATGTTTGGTCGAGCGAATTGATGAAATTTTGCAAATATATTTTGAAGCATTTACCAATTGATTTTCTGTTTCGTTTTATTTATTTTTTTCGGGGCCCTTATATGTACAACTTATAGAACTCAAAATATTTTCTGTTTCAAGAACATCTGTGGCTGCTGCTGATAGTCCATTTGTTGTTGCTGCTGCTGCATTTCTTGGTCTGGCTGTTGTTCTTGTGTGTAATTGAATACTAGTATGAAGCTATCCAACATGGATCGCTTGGAGGTGGTGGCAAAAATGATGGACAGCACCAGAATTGTGGTTAACAACAGGGCGAAAAACAATAAGTAACCAAAAGCGCACATTCGCGTAGCTTTTTCTTGACTCAATTAAAGGATTCTTGATTATATATAGGTATAGGCTGCCATATATATATATGTGTATATGTAGGGGTCTGGCTTTCTGTATAACAGCGAAAATTTTGCACTCCTTATTTGCGGGGACAAATCTTTGGTAAAGTCTTAGCTTGCCACAAAATTAAGTATTTTCATTTGGAATTCGTTAGTTGATTTACTTGGCTGAGCTTTTATAATATTATAGGGCCACTTTTCGTTCGGGGAAAACTCTTGGGCTTTTCTGCACAAAATCGATGGCCAGCCAGCGGAGGGCCTTAGGAAATTAATTCGCGCACGATTCGAGACCAGAACGAACTGCACCCGTTAAGGGTAGACGACACAGTGAGCTCTGGGAAAGTTCAGAGGATACGACCAGCCCTCCACGAAGACGCATGCGCCGAATTCTGGAAGAGCAGGGGTTCTGTGGGGTATATGTGTGGGCCGTGAGGTGTATATGGGTATGCGAAAAATTTCATAAATTTCATCTACAAAACTCTTGGGGGGGTCCGCGACAAACAAAAAGCACGCCTGTCAGCCTTTGGCACAAAGAATTTCATTATTAGCGCAAGGTGTCCACTTTTGCAGACAGCCACTGTGCCACCAACACCCCCGATTCCACAATGTTTGATCTTATTATGAGCCATTTTACTATCGCTGCCGGCACAGTGGCTATAGCGACGGCTATATCCCCCAGCTGATGACGTAAAATAAATTCTTTCTATTGATTTCCCATCGCAGCGAGACGCAGGACAAGCTTTGGCTTTTTATGTTACTCGGTGGGTCTCATTTGTATACCATACTTCTCCGGCGTAATTACATTGACATTGAAATCTGACGCCGACGCTGGCAGGACAGTAAAACGTTGGAGGTTGGAGCTTGGTGAAGGATAGGGAAAAATACTTGGAGGGGATGGCTCTACTTGGGTAGCACTTTTGTATCTGTTCACAAGGAGATGGATACAAATGTCCTTTATGTTCTAGAAACTTTCTAGCAAGCGAGGAAACCACTTTGATGGTAATAGGACTTTATGTTTTTACCACATTTGCTTTAATAAAACGATTTCTAGAACTTAATTGTGAACCATTATTAATCAATTAGCTGTTTATCCAAGTTTCATCATCATCATGGTCAGAGCACTGACCTTAAGCACTTACCTAAATGTTTTCAAAATATGACCTAAAAGCCTATCATCTACTTATAATTTAGGAAATATATAAAAAAACTGGGTTTCTACCTGACTTGGTGTTTAACTATAATATTTGAAAAGCGGTTAGTTTCCTTAAATATATATAGTAGGTTTATTTGAAAAGTCAAGGTTCCAAAACTTAAGATGCAACATTTTTCTTCATCTGGTTTTACGGGAATACCATTGGGAGATCGAAAGTACTATACAGTTTGACTATAATTGTAGTTATTATGGTTATTATCATATAGTGTTTAGCTAAATCATGGATTCTGAAACCGAAAATATATCAAAGTAATCCCAGTCACACTGTCACTCTATATGAAATCAATGCAAAAATTTCGGCTTGCACACAAAATACACTACAATGACAGACAACTTCAATGTTCTTCCCAACGCAATGGACCAGGAGTTCGACAACTTTTGGAAAAAGGTTAGCTGCTTTGCGGCAGCAAACTTTCCCTTCGAGGAGCGGTGCGAGTTCGTCAGAAACGCCGTGGACTGCAACAAGAGTACGAATGTGGTACCTTACATGACTCTCCTGGCCTGCGAGCTGAAGTGCGTTAACAAATTCGAGGAAATGATCTTTATAAGCTTGTTCATGGGGCTCTGCTTCGAGATTCTGGTTTTACTGATCTACACGATCAATGATTAGTAAGTTGCCGACAAAGTTCGATCTTCACGATTCCAGTCGTTGTTTGATACATTTGTACTAGTCCTCTAAGCTGTTTTGATTATTAAGTTTGAACATATTAAATTACCACGATTATCATATATAATCCGTTGGTCACCTCAAATATTGAGGCACACACTAATGACACGAGTCATTATAACTAAATTGCTTATAACTTTAAAAATAACAGTGGGAATAGTATAATTTTTGGTAGGGAGATTGTTAGTCACAAGCAAAATCATTTTCAATTTACTCAGAAACTAAATCTTCCAACATGGTGGCGTCAGAAAAGTTTTAGCATTATAAGCGTTTATAAATAAAATGAAGTAAACTTGCGCTGCGGAGGAATCCCAAGAATCTGCAAGCTTAGTTACAGCTTTATACCTCTTAAAGTTTTCGAATGAATGATAAATACAGACGGTCGTTTTAAAATCGCATTTGATCATTTCAATTTGGTTTTTACAGCTACAGTCCTGCTCTGAAGGCCGTATCGCGATTACTTCATATGAACGAGCACTTGGCGGGAGTCACCCTAATGGCATTTGGAAACAGTTCCGCCGACCTCTTCTCAAACTTGGCCAGTGTTAAAAGACATGTGCCTGTGCTCGCCAACAGCTTGTCCTCAGCCCTGTTTGTAACCATGATAACCGGTGGCCTTATATGCTATATAACGCCCTTCAAGATGAATGCCTACGAAACCGTCCGAGACATTTTATTTCTTGTTCTCGGGACATTTTTGATGGATTACTTTACGTCTTCAAGTATAATTATAAAGAACGAGTGGCATTTTTTGCGTAAGTTTGTATATCCACTAGAGATTATTTTATTTAGTTACTTACTAATGGTTAAGATACTTTATGAGTTCTTTATGTTTTTCATATAAATGAAATATTTTTTATGTACATTATTTAATGTTTGATTAATATTATCAGAGAAACTCTAAAATTTCAATTTGTTCCTTATAATTTAGTTGTGGCCTTCGTTTACATCGTGTACATACTTATTAACGTCACAGATGTTTATCTCCTGCGGAGGACTATAAACTGTGAGTCTTCTGACACAGTGCTTTAAAAAAAAAAAGCTGACACATGTTATATTAGGTTAATCTTTAATATTAAATGCATTCTTTTCCTAGCAACGGCGAACAAAATTCAAAGCCTTATGGAAAAAGAATCAACGCCTAAAAACCTAGAGAAGATTCGAAAGCTAGAAGAAAAATATGACTATTATTCACAAGATGGGCAAGTAGAGATTTATGAGCGAGACAGTAAACTCTCGCAGCAAACCAAAATGAGGTACACCACATTGCGAATGGCGCGAAATTCCCGGGTGAGCGTTAACAGAGGCTTGACCAGAATTAGGAGGCTCGACATGACACAGCCGAAGAACAGGGGGCTCTTCAAGGATTTCTTCCTGGCACTGAGGCCCATCAAGTGCCAGGCCTGGCGGCAAGCCGACATTCTGGGGCGGACGCTACTGTTGATCAGGGCCCCAGCAGTGATCCTTTGCACCCTCTACATTCCGCTGGTGGACTATGAAATGGACAAACATGGTTGGAACAAGCTGCTAAACTGCCTTCATGTGATAATAAACCCGGCCTTGTCCATCTCGGTCCTCATGTGTGAGTAGTTCAGTACACAGAGAACAATATTTATAAGATTGATGATCATTTTTATCAAGTTTAATACCAATTCTATCTAGTAACAAGAGTTATATTGTTGCCATCTTTCTTTTTTCTTTCATTTCCTATGTCGTAGAGTTTATAATATTGTTGTTTCATAGTAAATTCAAGAGATATTTCGCCCTTTTCTTTCTACTCTTCAAAGGTAGAATATCCAAAGATATCATTCTTTAATGCCAAATTTTACATTGTGCGATACTAAAAATTAAACAAAGTCTAGCATTAAGTATTGTATTGTATTATGTCAAGAACTAATATAATTTTCTTCTTCGCAATCTCAGCCTTTCTAAGTAGTAAAGCTAACACTTTATGGTACATCGCCATGCAGCAGCAAATTGTTTATGGGGCGTATTCCCTTGTTCTTACCGTGCCATTTTTCATCTTCATACTCATTAAATCGAGGACAGATGTGCCACCTTCTTATCACTGGGTGAGGCAAAATATGTCACAAATCTTTGAATTAGAAAAACCTGACTTCCCATTTTAGATATTTACGCTAATGAATCTGACAGGCTCTATGTTCATAATCTTTATTTGCGCCACGGAAATCGATAAAGTACTGGAAGTAATTGCAAATGTGATGGCCATAGATGACGACTTTATGGGAGCTACGGTAAAGGCTTTTACAGGGAATCTGAGCAGTCTTTTTGCCAATACCGCTGTGGCCGCTCACGGCTATCCGAAAATGGCTTTTGCCTCCGCCATTGGAGGATCTTTTTTTAGTAAGGATCATGTATTTGTTGGAATGCACTTAACATCTACCTACCCTTTAGCTATTGTGGTAACCGGAAACACGGTGATATACGTAAGGAGTCTCGTAGGTCAAGACGTTACGCCTCGTGACCAGATGGAAGATTATGGTCTTTCCGCTTTCTTATTTCTTAATCTGGGTCTGTTTACCATTCTGCTGTGGTCCACAACGTTGGGATTTTTCGCCCGCCGCTCCATGGGATTGTACTCGATTGCTCTTTACAGCATCTATTTAATATTCGCCATTTTGGTTCATGAGAAGGTCATTCATTCGTTCGCTGATGACCCTCAGGTTTCAGCTGCATTTGGCGATATTTAAGTGCTAAACAAGCAGAGCTCTCATAAAATTTTTACAACTACTATTTCTACTCAAAATTTTTACTTTTATACCACACTTAACAAATAAATCAGTGTTACAAAAAATTTTCTGTATTTTTATTCAGTTATTACAGGTAGTAGTTTATGAGTTTTTGAAGCGCACCTTGCTGGGATTTACGGCACGAATTGCGATTACTGCGCAGAATTTTCTTCGGAGTGCGTGAAAAGAGGGGGAGGAAAAGCACACACAGACTGAAACGAAACCAAATAATACCGAGCGTGTGTGGCTGAAGGAAAATGGGAAAGAGTGGGAAAAGCGGTCGTTGACGTTCATTGTTGGCTGCGCAATTCCTTTTTTTCACTGCCAGCTTTAAGGGATTTTCCACCAGCGAATGTCAATGACAGTTCATGAGCCAAAACACTTGAATTTTCCGCTGCATCATGCCCAAAAGCAAGTTCGCTGACTCTTTTGGCCAGGATCAAGCAATTAAAATGTAACACTCCAGCGGGCAACACTGCGTATGAGTCATATTTTTGCTTTGGCTGCAGGCTGGTCTCGAAATTAAATTTAAATTCAATTTTCAAGTCCGCAGCCTAAATGACATTTATGGCCAAAGAGGAAGAGCAGAATAAGAGGTCTCAGAACGGCAGACACGTGTATATAAAACCCCTCGTAATTCCCCCATTTTTTGTGTTCCTCTGAAAGCCCCCAGGACACTTAAAGCTCAAAAAGGACGAGTGTTTGTGTGGCCCCCATCAAGTCTAGAACATAAACGATAAATGCGATTTGGTTATTTAAGTCATTGCAACGAAAGCGTGGGCAAAATAGGAAAAAATATATAGCGGAAAATTCAAGAGAAAGGGGTGGAGAAAGCCTGCCCCACGCAAAAAGCACAAACACAGTCGCAGCACACCAACACACAGGCAAAGAGAAATGGCGGATGACTCATCCGAGGCAAGTGTTTGTGAGTGTGAGTGTGGGACCTGGCCACAGTCGCGTCCCAACGCAGTGGGCATGCCAAAGAGCAGAGGGCAAGGAACAGGACATAAGGAAGGAAGGAAGGAAGGAAGAGCGAGCCCAATGGTGAATCATCTTTCAAGAACCAAACATTCCTGCCTTCCACGCCAGGCCCTGCTCTTCCACCCACCTCCGAACATTTTTTCGGTTCTCATAATTTCAAGGTTTGTTTACTCGGAGCCTATTATACTACAGAGAGAAAAAATTAAAGATATAATGTTTTATTTTTTATTTTGTTTATTATATAAGATGTAGAGATCAATCAGAAAATAAAGAAGTCAGATAAGGATTAATGTATACCCATGGGCGATTATAATAATTATTAATTAATATATATCTTCAAAAACTTAAAATATTGTACCTCTAAAATACCAGTTTTCGAGAACAAACATTTATTCCCAACTTTAAAAGCTTAGATAGATAAAAAGGAATTCTAGTATAATTATGATACAATTTTAAAGGAAGTATACATTAAGGACTTTTCTTAAAGTAAACCATAATGTGTAAGAAAACTACCATACAAAAATAAATAGGTAATCCAACTTTGAAGACCTTTTTCCACTCTGTAGCTTTTTGTTTTGCCACGCAGAACAGCCCCAATGCTGGCGTGGAATGTTGTAACTTTCGGTGCCTAGCTGTCGCTCTATATATGTAGGATATAATTTGCACACACGCAGATGGCAGGACACGTTGATTAGCAAGTGATTTCCATTTCGGGCACTTTTTGTTGCCTACTTTTTAGGGGAGCTGACCACACGTGACGAAGTAGACCGCAATGGGCGACGGCCACGCCCCGAAGAAGGGGCAACTGCATTGGGGAGCACTTAAAAGTGCAGCCCGCAGGTAATATAAATCATTTTGGACAACCACAAGCTTTTGCTCCTTTCCCCGCCTAACACAATTAATAATAAACAAGGGGAAAATTGTCAGAACAGGAAGCCATTTCGCGACCAGGTGAGTTTTCACCCCATCTTTCCATTTTCCTTTTTAATGCTGCTCGGACAAAATTTATGTTTATGGCTTGGAACCCCCCACTGGGCACTCTTTGTCCCACGGTTCCAGCTCGTTTTACTCTTTTTTTGTATACAGTAAGTATTTTGCCTTATTTATTCATGATACTTTGGAAGCCACTTTATGGTGCGGTTCGTAAGCTGCGGTTTTTGAAAGGCATTGGATGGGTCAGCCTTTTGTTGTGGGACACCAGCTTTAAGCTGGTAAAGCAATATTTTCCCGAGGGGTCGAGGCTGTGAGACTGCCTCAGACTCACTCTATTATTAGAAAAGCAAACAACAATCACAAGCGAACAAGCTGCCTAATCCAGTCCACACTTAATCTCTCAATCAAGCTGGTCACTATAATCACACCCCAGTCTCTGTGGACATGACGCACACTTTTACACAAAGAAAAAATCATTTTACATTCATGAATATATTGTCAAAGTAAGGGTTAATAATATCTCAGTGTTTCAGTAGAGTATGCCACTCTAAACATGGGATTCCATTGTTTTTTAGTTAAGCCAGCTATTTTATAACAATCTTTAGTCTATAATACTAATTTTTAGATGTTATTAAGGGCGAAGAAACTGTCTTTCATATAATTTTGGTAGACCCTTAAAGTTAAGGGTTTGGTCCTTCCTTATATCTTTAGCTCTGCTAAGCTAAAGTTTTTCATAGAATTCTGAAATTCTGCATTGAAAGCAACATTTGCTTTGAAAGGTTAACATATTTCATAATTTAAAGATGGTTATTAGTGTTGAATTTATCTTGTTGTAAGAACTATAAGGAGTTTAGTCAATATGGTCTTGATTCACGGTTTATTGTTTAAAAACAATCACTTTCTATAAAGTTTAGCTTTTATAACTCAATAGATAAAAACCAATGTAAAACAGTTTAACAAAATCTTCTGCGAAGTTTTTATAAGTTCTTTAGTTTTTAGTCCTGTATGACGAAGAACTATAATAAACAGACAGTAATCAAGATGTCATATTTTTGAAATATGATTTTAAAATGATTGATGTGTCAGGTCTTAATATATTTGAGATTATTCATAATGAATTAGCATTTACAACTAAACCATTATATTACTTTTAAGAATAGACTAACTATTGTCTTTTGCTAAGTATACCACCAAGTAATGCGCAAAAAGGGGGAAATGGGTGGACAAATCCCTGTCCCACGCATGATAGACTTGATCCTATATAGACAGCCACCCACACAAATTTGACACTTGAATGGGGATGCACTGACTGACTGAGTCGCATCGAGGTGAAGGCTGTCCTTTCAGACTTCCCCCGCCCAAAGGTCAGAGGTTGTGCGTCGGCAAACATTTGATTTGGATGAATAAACTCAGCTCCCCTGGCAACTCGAGTTCCATTCCTGACGTCAATTGGCGAGGCGATAACACCTAGGGGCGTGGGTCGCAGCGCATAAATACGTCTGTTTTGGATGTACTATATCTATACGGAACCCCTCTGGATGACAGGTTGCGCCATATGCCATATGCTCGGGGAAATTCGCAAACAAGAGTCAAGAGGTTTTATTTTTAGAACGATAGGGGGGCGGACAGCTGCTGAAGGACCAAATGAAGGATCTGCAACAGGACGAATGTCGGAAAAGTTCCCCAAGGAGATGCGTGCGCACTTCTGGGGCAACTGGCTGTGGAATATTGATTTTTCACACAATTTCCCGAATACAGTCAAGTGGAGTTTTTCACAGGCCATGAGGAAAACTTGTTTTGTATCATTTTAATGGTATATCTTTGGATATATCCAAGTTTTAATGACTATTACTCACCTTCAGAAAGGTAACTCCCTAAAAATTGATACTCCTATTCCAGAGTTTTCCTTGCACAATCCACAGTCACAGCGATTTAATCAGTAATTATTGCACTCGATTGGGTTTATTTTCTACAGTTTTTATTGGTCACCGCGCCCAGGAAATTAAATGATCTTCCTTTGTTTGGTTTTTAAAACTTCTGGTGATTTTCGAGGGTGGCCATTACGCGAACAGGCAACAAACGACTCTGCCAGCGGCTGGCCATTTGTCCCACCATTCGGAAAAGCGTGCTGGAAAATTGTTTGCAGCTGCGCGCACGCAAGCTCGGGAAAACTCAGGGGGAAATCTCTATTTTCCGCCCCCAATTCCGCGGCAGGCTGACTTTTGTTTTTGTTTGCGCACAGCTGATCAGCTGGAGATGGCACTGCCTCCGGCAGTGTTGGAAAACGACGTGCCGATAGTTTAATTTCAAATTTGAAATAAGAAAATTCTAACTACGAAGTGGTTTTGTTAAGGATTACATTTACTTTCTGTAGTTATAAATGGCAATATAGGGATTAAATTACAAATTTATAGTTCTTATCCATCAAAAATATTTTTTAAATGTTTATAGTGAAATATATTAGGGTTTTTAAATCTTCTAATATCCTATACACCAATAATATATGTCTTATTTTTGAGTCTTTAATAAAAAAAATATTTTAAGTTAACAAAGACCGTCATGTTCATGTTTCATGTAAGATACTCGGGCTGTCTTGTTTATAGGTTCTCTAGTATTTCAGCTATATTTTAAATTTAATTATTGATACTTTCCAGCTATCCAAACTTAACCCATTCTTCCGACTCAAAAATCGCCATAAATAAGTTGCAAGCTGGTACCAATTTATTAACCGCAACTGAGACTACAATTTGGGATCTCGGATCCGCCGATGCTTATAGATTAGACATAGATAACCATGGTGCTTAGCAGCTGAGCTTCTTGGCCTCCTGGAAGCGGCAGGAGATGTCGTCCCAGTTAGCGATGTCCCAGATGGCCTCCACGTAGGAGGGTCGCACGTTCTTGTACTGCAGATAGTAGGCGTGCTCCCAGACGTCGATGCCGAAGAGGGGGATCAGTCCGGTGGACGCCTCCAGGGGATCCTGGTTGGGCAGGGCGGCCAACTGCAGTTTGCCGGACTTCTTGTTGTAGCCCAGCCAGCCCCAGCCGGAGCCCTGAACGGCCACGGTCAGCGTGCTCAGCTCCTTCTTGAACTCCTCGAAGCTCTTCCACTGCGACTCGATGGCCTTCTTCAGGTCCTCGCTGGGCTGGCTCTTGTTGGGCGAGAGGTTCTGCCAGAAGATGGTGTGGTTGATGTGGCCGCCGCCATTGAACCGCAGGGCCGGAGCCAGCTGGATTAGCTTGGTGGTGTCGCTCTTCGACTTGGCCTCCTCCAGCTGCTCCTCGGCGGCGTTCAGATTGTTGACGTAGGTCTGGTGGTGTTTCTGGTGGTGCAGCTCCATGATCTCCCGGCAGATGATCGGCTCCAGGGCGGCATAGTCGTAGGGCAGCTTGGGCAGGGTGTGCTTGCCACGCACCGCCAGGCTGCAATGGGTTAAGACTCGTTGTTTTATAATATCCTCAAGATCAGGGTCGCCATTTGTTGCTTTTTTATGTAATCGGTCATGGCCGGCATCGATTTTGGCTATTTTCTCTGCTCATCATATGCAACTTACCTTGCCGATTGCGAAATTCTACGGGCCACAAACATCTCTGCGAATTATTAAACTGCAAATTAGGGTTAGTCCTGATCTGTGTTTTAAAACCAAAAAAAACAAGGCTTACGTTCTCGTTTTTTGCTTCCTCTTTTGAACAATTTAATTCTAGAGATGGACGAGCAGCCGAAAATATCGAACGGCCACAATCAGTCAGTGATGTGATTTCGACTATTTATTAGCTAGAACAAAGCATCTATATAATAAAAAAGTTGGAAATATATCTTATTCTAAAATATAACGTTTTAAAAATATATTTGCTTTGGTTTTGTTGGTTTATAATTTATTTATTATTACTTTTCTAGCTTCTTAAAATTTGATATCCCAATTGATATCCTCTTGGGATAGCCGACTTCCCGCTCTAGAAATCATAGGCGCCAAATTTCAAACAAACCATGAGTTTTACGTCTATAAAATGAACCTTACTGTATAGTCCGCCCGAAACAAACAACATAGCACACAATATGTCGACATTTCACATACCTTCCCGTATCAAAATCGATATAACAGATAAACGGGCACAGCACATTCTCTACAAGTACCTACAAATACGTAAGTCCCTCAGAAAAAGCACACACAATAATGATTCCATAGATATTCCTTCTATAGCTTCTGGAGACATGAGTAGTAAGAATGACAGCTCCTCCCACCAAACTGCAGTGGTCATTGATAACGGTTCTGGGGTTTGTAAGGCAGGATTCTCTGCGGAAGACACTCCCCGGCTGGTCTTCCCCTCGATTGTGGGTAGACCTCGTCACCTGAACGTTCTGATGGATTCTCTGATCGATGGTTGTGTTATTGGCGAGGCGGCAGCAACTAAAAGGGGAATTCTCACCCTAAAATATCCCATAGAGCACGGGGTGGTCAAGAACTGGGATGACATGGAGAAGATTTGGAAGCACACATACGAACTGCTGCGGGCGGATCCAATGGATTTGCCGGCACTCCTCACCGAAGCCCCTCTGAACCCGAAGAAGAATAGGGAGAAGATGACGGAGATTATGTTCGAGCATTTTCAGGTGCCAGCTTTCTACGTGGCCATTCAGGCCGTACTCTCCCTTTACGCCACCGGACGCACTGTGGGCATTGTGGTGGACTCGGGAGATGGTGTGACCCACACGGTTCCGATCTACGAGGGATTTGCCCTGCCCCACGCCACCGTTCGTGTGGATTTAGCTGGCCGGGATCTCACCGATTTTCTGGCCAAACTGCTCTTGGAGAAGGGTGTAAAACTGGGCACTTCTGCGGAAAGGGAAATTGTACGGGATATCAAGGAGAAACTCTGCTACGTTTCGATGAATTATGACCAGGAAATGGAACTTCAGCAGGATACATCCAGGAGTCGTGATAAACAGGAAGAGAGCTACGAGCTTCCCGATGGCCAGAAGATCAGTTTGGGCAGCGAGAGATTCCGCTGTCCGGAGGCTCTCTTCCAGCCCAGTTTGCTGGGCCAAGAGGTGATGGGCATCCACGAGGCCACCTATCACTCCATCATCAACTGCGACATGGATCTACGGAAGGATATGTATGCGAACATAGTGCTCTCGGGTGGAACGACGATGTTTCGCAATATCGAACACCGATTCCTGCAAGACCTAACCAAAATGGCACCCCCATCCGTAAGAATCAAAATCAACGCCAGTCCCGAGCGACGATTCTCCGTTTGGACGGGTGGCTCCGTTCTGGCCTCACTGACCAGTTTCCAAAATATGTGGATTGACAGCATGGAATACGACGAAGTGGGTTCGAGCATCGTTCATCGCAAGTGTTTCTAGGCGAGGTTCAGAAAAAAATCACGATCGTTTAATTTTATTATTTGGCTTGTGTTCAAGATAATGAATAATAATATATTTTTTTATGTTTTAATGATAAATGGTGCTTATTTCGTTTTCCAACCTTTTTATAACTTTTTTTTTAGAAAACACGATGATTTGTTGAGTACATTTTTTTTACTTTATATTTCTAATCAAAATAAAATTCGCGGGACTAGTCATACGCCAAATATCAACCATGGAACGATAATTCGTCAAAGGATGAATCATGGGTTATTCATATAGAAACTTCTTAACGACGATATCGATCAGAAACTGAAATCTTGCCGAAGCCACTCTTGAAAAATTCATATAATCAAAATCATTAGCATTCAATTACGCTGACGACTGCCGTATTTTGATTCAAATTAATTGCGAATTTATAAGGTAAAATTGACGCATACAAATGTGTGCGGTTGCCACATTTCAGCCAGAATAAAAAACCACGTAGTAACCTTAACTTGCTTCCAGTTGCACGTGCACCGGGCGACAAGAATTGCCGACAACAAAAACCAAGTTCCAACTCTCGAAGCATTCACCTTCATAATCGTAATCTCAATTGTCAAGCTCAATCATTTCACAGTCAGCTTCACTTGAGGCTTAAAGACCTTTTGTTTGAGCACTTCACTAGATGATGATCACGGATCCACAGTAAAACTTGTTGGGGCCAAACATCGCAGCGCGTGCTTTTAGAGAAACGCCATCATATCGGCCAATCTATGGATCCGTATGCAATGCATTATCATTAGAAATTCTATAAGGAGTTGATAATCTGCTATCTGATAATCTAAGGATACATAAAAACAAGGGAGAACGCTTTAGTCGACTGCCTCGACTATCAGATACCCCTTATTCGCAGCGATCGAAAGTTGAGCTAGTAGTCAAATGACTTTTTTATATATCTTAAAAAGGAGCATTGGCTCAACGTCAGCCCTATCACCAATCATATTGGCAATCAAGAGCTTTAATTTAAGCCCTATGTTAAAGAAACAAATCGAAAACATGTTTTTTTTTCAGATTCAAAGTGTACGTCTGTCGCGTGCGACAATATAGAATTACCCTGAAAGTCCCTTAAAATCTGACTTGTAAGTGGGTTTTTCTAAAAATGGTAGATTAAAATCTTTATATCTTGATCAGCTTAACGCCATAATCCGTAGTTCAGGACCCTAAATCTATTTCGCGTTACACCACTGTCACTTGAGGCAAAAAAATAATTTTAGATCGAATAACTTTTATGGCAATGTTTTAAAATATGGATACAAAAAAAAAAATCGGAAAAAAATATTTTTTTCAAGTTTGTGGTATCCTATCGGATATGAATAACTTTGAAGGGTTTTTTTGCGACTTAAGTTTGGTTAAACTCTTTAATATTGCTGATAAGCAAAAAATGTTGCAGCATGACTGACTTTGAGAAAAGTGATAAGAAATATATACCATGATAAGAGAACATTTAATTCAAAACCATATAACTTCGTCAGTTTTCAAAAGTCTGCAAAAGAGTTCAGATGTATGTTTAAAACAGTCAGTTTTTTAAATTTCGTTCAAACATGTGCTACAATTAAGAAGCTTAAACTTAAACAGTAGTATCAAAATATATTTAAAACTAGTTTTAATGTTAATTATGGTATCCCAAACATCTCCTTTCTTTTTAGATAGTTTAAAAGTGCCAGGAATAAGCGAATATGGCAAAGCTAACAAACTGGGATAGGTTTGTGCTGCTTCTGTGGAAGAACTGGATCCTCCAATGGAACCACAGGGTTCGGACTCTCGTAGAGCTGGTGCTCCCATTTTCATTTATTTGGCTTATTGTCTTAATGCGCGTTAATCTCTCTACGTTTGAAGAAAGTTTAGAAGTCTATGAAGAGACGGATGTGACGCCTCCCTATGACATGCCGTGAGTTTTGGCCAAGATATAAATATTTGAGTGCCTATTTTGTGTTCAACTTATATTTAAGAAGCGTTCAAATGAAATAAATTTTGTAAATACAAAATTGGGTCACTAAATAAGCTGTGATTCATATCTTACTAAATGAACGTTTCCAAAAGTCGTTTACACTTGAATAATTCGCAAATTGTTAAACTTTAATTAGCTTTTAAATGTTATTTTTCACCCGATCGAGACGATCGCACCTCAAAATTTGCGATAACCTCATTTATTCACCTGGCATATTTTTTTAAATCACATTTTAATTTAGTGATGAAATAACCATATGCTACTCGCCGTCGAATGACAAGCTGGATAAATTGGTTAAAAATGCGTTTAGGGATCTCAATGTCGAAGAATACTACGCCTCGACGAATGGTACCCAACTAGAATTGGACGTCGTTCAAAAGAGAGCCTTCGCAGGCATCCAGTTCGATGATGCATGGGCCAATCTCGCGGATCACATTCCCGATGACTTTCACTTTGCGCTGCGATTTCCATCAATAACGCGGCAGGAAAAAAAAACATGGCTTACAAGAAACATGTTCCCCTCAATTGAACTTCGCGGACAACATAACTATTACGCTCCAGGATATTACCAAGAGGGTTTTCTGGCCTTGCAACAGCGACTATCGTTGGAATATATACGGGAAAAGTCTGGACTTTCTGAACTGCCCAGTGTAATGGTGGAACACTTTCCCTATCCCGCCTACACAAAAAATGAGTTCTTACCGTTCTTGACCTTCATATTACCGAGTTTTATTATACTAAGCTTCCTCTATCCCTTCATGTGTGTCACCAAGGTAAGTTTCTGTACCCGGATCAATGTTAATTATCCAGTTTTTATCCACCTCTTATCTCAGTTCATAGCCGCCGAGAAGGAAAAACAACTGAAGGAGGTTATGAAAATCATGGGACTGAGGAACTGGCTTCACTGGACGGCTTGGTTTGTCAAGACTTTTATACCGCTCACTATTTCCGCCATAATGGTTACTATAGCACTCAAGGTGGATACGAAATATGGGGCCGTTCTGGAAAATGCTAGCCTTACAGTCGTCCTCTTTTTCCTGATTGTATACATCATAGCAAGTATATGTTTCTGCTTTATGATGGCTACTCTGTTCTCAAAGGCCAGTACGGCTGCCACAGTCACATCATTTATATGGTTAATTGCGCACATACCATATTTCTTCATATTTAACGTTGGCTTGTCCCCCAAGTTGGGCTGGAGCTTGATTCCGAACACTGCCATGAGCTTGGGCTTCAAGGTCATCGTGAACTTTGAGGAAGTCGGCGATGGTTTGCAGTGGAGTACCCTCTTCTCTCCCGCATCAGAGGGCGATCCTTTGACAGTGGGCGCCGTGATCATAATGATGTTGGTTTCCAGTACTGTGTGCATGATTATTTGCTTGTATGTCGAACAAGTAATGCCGGGTAATTTTGGAGTCCCGCGGCCCTGGAACTTCCCATTTACCAGGGAGTTCTGGAGCATCGAAAGTAGCGAAAGGAAAAACGAAGATTTGGAAGGCATTGACATGGCTCAAATTTATCCCAAGGCTTTTGAAATGGAACCGGAAGGAAAACACATTGGAGTACGAATAAAAGACCTCAGAAAGAAGTTTGCCGACAAGACGGTGGTAAGGGGCTTGACAATGAATATGTTCAAGGATGAAATTACGGTATTACTGGGTCACAATGGAGCCGGCAAGACGACCATTGTATCGATGTTGACCGGAATGATTCCACCGACGAGTGGCGCAGCGCTTATAAATGGCTATGATATCACTGCGAACACCGAAGAAGCTCGCATGTCCATGGGAATCTGCCCGCAGCACAATGTGCTCTTCGATGAGATGAGTGTGTCGAATCACATTCGATTCTTCAGTCGTATAAAGGGACTCCGCGGTGAGGAGGTCGAGTTGGAGGTGGCCAAGTATCTGAAGATGATCGAGCTGGAGGACAAAGCGAATGAGCCGTCATCAAAACTCTCCGGAGGAATGAAGCGCAAGCTATCCGTCTGTTGTGCCCTAGTGGGGGGTACCAAGGTGGTGATCTGCGATGAACCGAGTTCCGGAATGGATCCAGCTGCCAGGCGGCAGTTGTGGGATCTCCTCCAGAAGGAAAAGGTGGGACGCACCCTACTGCTTACAACACACTTCATGGACGAGGCTGATGTGTTGGGCGATCGCATTGCCATCATGTGCGACGGCAAACTCGAGTGCCTGGGAACCTCCTTCTTTCTGAAAAAACAATATGGATCGGGATACCGATTGGTAAGTGGTCATATGTACGTTAATATTTAAATATTTGGTAGTACTTAATTTAAACTTTCTGTAGATCTGTGTAAAGGGCGAGAACTGCGAAACGAACAAGGTTACTGCCCTATTGAACCGGTTCATTCCGGGTCTGCGACCGGTGTGCGATATTGGTGCTGAGTTGTCTTACCAACTGCCGGATCAGGATTCTCCGAAGTTCGAGGAGATGTTCAGCCAGCTGGAGGACAACTCAGAGAAGCTGCATCTCAATGGCTATGGCGTGAGCATCACCTCGCTGGAGGAAGTGTTCATGAAGGTCGGCGCCGAAAAGGATAGCACTGGTAAACTGAAGGACCAAAGCGAGATCATGAACGGGGATAGAGGATTCCGAGGCGAGGATGACTACAAAGATGTTAAGTGTAAGCAGGGTTTTGGTGCCTTAAGTTTTGTACCTCCGTTATGATTAAATAACCAATTACAGTCTCGGAATATCAAAGCCAGCTCCAGGGGTTGCAGCTCCTATCGAATCAGTGGAAGGCCATGTTGCTCAAGAAGCTCCTGTATATGTGGCGAAATAAGTTGCTTCTTTTCGTTCTCAACGTCATCCCCGTGTTCTTCCTACTCATGAGCTATTTGATCTCAGTAACGAAGGAGAATCTAGAGCCTATGACCTTTTCGTTAACTCAGTATGACTCGGCTGTGACTGTTTTAGATCTCTCCAGAGTATCGAACGGATCGCAGAGCTATAAGATTGGACAAAAATATGCTGACCTGGTCAAATCGTACAGCGAAGATTACAAACTGGA